TTTGTAGATTGGATTGCTGAAGACCGTAGCCATCGATCCTAAATCATTGCAATATCCCACTAAAGACGTGTGTGGGTTCGAATTTCGATCGACTGCCATCTGCATCAAGTCAATTGACTCGGGCAGCTCACTCCTCATCACCCCGGCCAAGCAAGCTTTCCCTTTCCTTGCCCGACCTCAACGCCAAATCACCCCATAGCAGCTTGCGCCAATCATCTGATCCCCATCACACCGTACCACGAGAGGCCGTGTGGACATTTCTTCCCTACAGCAAAGAGCCCTTTCCACACACCTGTTGCTGATGAGCGCATGAGCTAGCAGGTTTTCACCTGCTTGTCTGGCACGACGACGGGCCGTTCAACGGCCTAGTTTCCGCCAGCCCGGGCCTTCTCCAGAACGTCTGGTGGTGGGAGGTACTCAGGGCCGAATGACAGCGGGAGAAGCTTCGAACGATGGTCAGCTCAATGGTTTTGCTCAATGGCTTGGGTCTTGTGAACTTACGGCTTCCAGTCTCATGACTGCATACTTTCCGTCCTTGTTGAACATGAGGATGGGCGTTTCCAGGTCCACAAACTCACGAATGCTAACAAAATAAATGTCAGTCAAAGGTCGCCTTGACGGTTCATGATATGTATCCGAACGTTGCGGAACTAAGGTATCTTCAAGGGGTTGACCTACAACTGCCGGCACATGCCACACGGGCTACACGGAGCCTCGACATCGGTGGCTACGGCGACAGCCTTGAAACCCCGGATTCCCTCCGTGATGGCTTTGCCAAAGGCTACTCTTTCGGCACACGTGCCAACCGGATAAGAAGCATTCTCAACGTTTGCTCCAGAGGTGTACTGTCCGTCCTTAGACAAGAGTGTCGCTCCCACACGGAATTGGCTGTAAGGGCAGTATGCTGTCGCCTTTGCTGCCGTTGCCTTTTGGTGAAGCTCAGTCACCTCGGCTGGGGTAAGTCCGTACTTCTTGGCCGTCTCGGCCGTCTGAGACTCATTGGCAATATCGAAAACCTCCGGTGTGAAGCCCATGTTGATCCTGAGTAAGAGCAAAGAGATGAGTGAGATGTTGAGTGATGTAACGAGGTTGTGGGATAAGTAGTCTGATGTGATGTGTGAGACGAATCTATGATCCTATGTGTGTAGTTGGATGATGGGTCCACGGGCTGCTGCTATTAGTTTGTTCTCGGCGGTCTCTACGGTGGGAACGCCCTCTGTGAGAGCCACTGGCATGCTCCATTTATGGGGGGTCCGGGTGCCAATAGCGACCCCCGGCCGTCTCCGAATTCCGTTTGCGTCTCCCCAAAGTAATCTTTTTGCTATCAGTTTTGGAACCGAAAACCCGCACTTGCCATGAACCCTCCCGTCCTCTCCCAACCATCGCAGATGTCCGTTTCCGCCTCCAAACTTCCTGCCTAGTTGGGCTGCTTACACTCATGACATTAGACCCCCGGATTGGACGGACACTTCCCCCATATGACCATGGCTTAGCATGTACGTCTCGCCGTTCTGCAACCACTGGACAACCCCGCAGTCTATCCTTAGCTGATTATCTGCCTTCAACGCCAAGTTAGGCCTTGCCGAGGGGTATTGTAAGCGGGTTCATGGCACTAGGTAATCGATATCCGTGAGCTAATGCCTTGGTTATGGGGTCACGAGATGTGCCTTGACGGGATACACTTACGAAGAGCCGCCGTCGACCACAAGGTTTGCTCCCGTGATATAGGAACTGAAGCCCGAAGCTAGGAATCCGGCTACTCGAGCTACTTCTTGAGGACTACCTGGTCGCTCGAGGCCCACGCTTGCTTCCGATGCCTTTGGATGATGTGTGTCAGTTTATAGATCCATCGGGCCTAACCTTCTCTCCTTCGCCCTCGTTTGTGTGGTTTTTTCGACTTACTTCCTTTCCTTGCAAGACCGCAGGCGGGAACTGGGAGTTCATTCCCTTCATATCGACCTGTATGGTAACACTGATCAGTACCGTGCTGCTCAGCTTGGTGAAGCAGACCACTCTCACCCCATTCAAATCTAGGCCAACATCGATCTGGCCCGGAGAAATGCAGTTGATCCTCACCCCCGAACCTTTGAGCACAGCAACGCCGGCTTTGACGACACCAAGCGCGGCGTGGGCCGCCATCGTGTAGCACGGCCCCCAGCACCCGCCATACGTCGATGCCACACTGCTGATGACGATGATGCTGCCGTACTTTTGGCTCTTTGGCGCCGCGTTCGGGTACGATTGCTTCTCTGTCAGTTTGGCCATGGCGGGAGGCGCATACTTGAGCGCGAAGAAGGGCGCCATGGAATGTGCCTCGAAACACCGCTGGAGGTCGGCCGGTGTCGTTTCGTTGATGGACGGGGGCCCGAGCAGGCCTGCGGATGACACCCAAATGTCGAGGCGCCCAAAAGCATTGAGAAGCTCGTCAATGAGAACCAAAGTCTCTTCTTCTTGGGCAACGTTGAACGGGTAGGGAATGATCTTGGTGTTGGGGTGCTCTTGGTGCACCTTGGTGACGAGAGGCTTGAACGTCTCATCACTGGCTGTCTTGTCGCATGCTGGATCATGTCATTTTTCTGTTATTCGCTCAGTTTTTTGGTAATCATCTTACCATATATAGAAGCGGCCCCATGAGCTGTCTATGTGTTAGTGACGCCTTTTCGAGGTAGCGAATAAATGCCTACCTGCCAGCTCCTCGATAATAGCCCGTCCAACAGGCTGAGCGGCTCCTGTGACAACACAGACGAAGCCGTACTGGCCACGATACTTAGTACACCATGCATGAACTTCTAATGGTAGCGCTGACGTACAAGCTTGCCATCGGCGCGGTAGGGACTGAAGTCAACAGTCGTATCCATCTTCGCAATTGATGAGATGATGTGCTAACTAAAGTGAACCGTAACTACATATACGTGAGAAGAACAGAACCTAACAGAGTCTCTCGGATAAAAACAAGGGAGGTCGAGCTGAAATATTCAGATTCGATACAGAAAGTCAGGAGCAGAAGAAGTATCCTCAAGTTGTGCCACACTCGGGCTAGACTCTGAGCGGCTCAAGCTTGCATGCCCAAACGGGCCAATGCCGTCACTATCACGCGAACTGAGATGATGCTTCTCCGAGGGGATTGGCAGCCTTTACAGCTACCAGACTGTGGAGGCGAAAATTCCTCCAACCAGTGTAAGTTTGATGCCGTTTTCTGATCAGAGATAAGGTATTGCAAAATCAATTCAAATACCATCTACTCAGGTATTGTTTCACTCGCTGACTTGAGAAGTCAGTCTTTGTACATGCCGTCAACTCAGTCTGCCAAACCAGTTGACGGTGGGTTTCGTTGCTTTGGGGCCGGCATTGGCTCTAGCTTACGGCCCGCGCGGGGTGTCCATTGGGATCCGCGCCTACTACCGATATCAATGACATTCAAATCATTCCTGTCTGATTGGAGGATTCTGCTCGTAGGTCCGGACGACGGAGATGCTTATATCTCCCCCACCAGCTTCTAGTAATAATTTGATCGTATACCTACCTTACGGACCGGCCTATCATATGCATTTCGGCGGTTGCTGGTCATTGTGAGAGTTGACCATCATGATGTTCTGCAGTGCTGTTGACCCTGATGCAATTGTTAATCGTACTTTTGGCATCCTTTGAAGCCTAGAGTAGTCAAGCTTTTAGAAGGTGAACAATACATCGAGGAATCGCGCGAACTTTCTTTCATTCAATGTGACCCACTGCAGGGGAAATAAGCCGGTGTAACCTATAAAACTAGTTTGCCGTGTTGGTAGCGACGGTTCTGGAATACCTTGGCCAAGCATCGAAACCCATGAGGTTTAAGCGCCAGCATCTGATGGTGTCAATGAGGCCAGCTGATTTCCATCGATGAGAAGTGGAGGAAGTTATACTGCGGTCAGAGAACCAAGTACCGAGAGTGCTGGTTCATCTTGTCTAGAGATACTGAGCTTATCCAGGGCTGAGTTTCAAAGGAACAGTCAGTGTGCCGTTCCTAGGACGACACTGTCCAGCACGACAAGAGGCGCATTGGCTACCAAAGGTCCGAAATCACGGACATCTGCAGGATGAGGAGGATGACCTGAACACACCCGCAACCGGGTCAACGTTCTGGAAATCCGGGAACCTCAACAAATATTTTACGGCCCATATGAGACGATGCGACACAATAGAGTGCGACTACGCATGACTTAAAAGATGAGCGTAGTCTGATACCATCGGCCGATGTCGTGGGGGCTTTTTTGCCAGTATTAGGTATGAGGTTTACAGTTAAGATTGTGTTGCCAGATGTTCAACGAGTTGTTGAAACATGAATACTTACAACCAGGTATATTTGTTTGATGAGCAATTGAGAGGGTGAGTGCCGGCCTCGGAACGCTGATGTGACAGTACGGCAAGGAGGTTGTCTCGCACTCAGCTAGAGACTGGTGTAAGCGAGGATGTCTGTTTGCTGGAGGCTGAGCTGTCCAACGGGCAGGCAATCGCCCACGGTGACTTAAACTCCAATGGAGACTGGTCCGCCGTTCCTGCGCAGCGCAGAATGACGATGACGGATGAGAAATCCACTTCTACCTTTCGCCCCGCTTAGCTAAGAATCCCGTCGGGTGGTGGGGATCAGATTGTCGGAAATTGTTAACGGGCTACTTCTGCGATACGTCGGATGCGTGGGATAAGAATAGGCTTCGAGGCTGGTTGGGGAAGGGAAATCAGGCTGAGAGAGGGCGCAAATTGTTATCAGAGACCCCTGGAAGGCGGACAAAGAGTTATTTCTGGGGCGATCAGGGTCCTGCTGGTCCTCCAGGTAGGAGTCGAAGGACCATCAAAGACCCCTCAGACCAGGTACCTACTGTGTATGGACAGAGAGGACAGAGAGGCTGCAGGTATTGCATCATCAGCACCGCCACAGTGGCTGGAAAGAATTCCATGTTCTTCCATCGATTTCAATTTGGGGCCATTTGGGCGCGGGACATGCGCAAGGCGACCCGCCTTTGCAGCCTGCTTCTCCCTTTATTGTGAAAAATCCAGTGTCCCAGTGTCCCGTCACTAGCGTACTTCGGTCCATTCAGCCAAGGTACATTTCCACCGTACTCCTCCCCGCCAGGAACCTCACCCATCAATAACTTCCTCGCCAGCCCGGCTACAGATCTCCTCTCAATTTTTTCCTACTTTCCCCCGCAACTACCTCCCTCTTTCTAGTTTTACATCAGATACCCAGTTGCGCAATCGCCATTCTCGGCTTCTTTCAGAAAGTGAGTACTTCTCGGTGTTTCCTGCAGCGCAAAGCGAATCGGAGTTATGGTTTTACCCGCCAAACTAAATCCGCCTTACCTCTTTCTCCTGTTGAGACGGCTCTTCCCCGAAGCTGCCAAAAAAGCGATCATTTTCTCTCTTTCGACTCTGTCTTGTTCGCATCACAGAACCGGGAATGCGCAAGACGATACTGCAAAACTGGCGAACCATTTCCGATTCATTCAGCTGACATTTGGTCACCCAGGCCCCTCCATAGATTCCTATCCAGAACTCCGGTTATCGCCAAGCCTTAGATAAGGATTACTGTACCAACCAGCACGATGGTCAAAGAAACGAAGCTCTACGAAACCCTCGGTGTACGTTGAACACGGAAGTGCCTCCAAAGAGCTGGAACAGATCATTAACATTGGAACAGGTTGCGCCGACGGCGACCGAACAGGAGCTGAAGAAGGCGTACAAGACAAATGCCCTGAAGTACCACCCTGGTAAGCACCAACAAACCCGCCGCATCCTCACGGGCTGGCTGACAAGACCTCCACAGACAAGAACGCCCACAACCCCGATGCTGAGGAGAAGTTCAAGGAGATTTCCCACGCCTACGAAATTCTTTCCGATTCCCAGAAGCGCACTGTCTACGACCAATATGGCGAGGCTGGTCTCGAAGGCGGTGCCGGCGGTGGTGGCGGCATGGCTGCTGAGGATCTGTTTGCTCAGTTCTTCGGTTCCGGTGGCGGCTTCGGCGGCGGCCTTGGAGGCATGTTCGGTGGCGGCGGCATGCCTAACCGCGGACCCCCCAAGGCTCGCACGATTCACCACACTCACAAGGTCTCCCTCGAGGATGTCTACCGCGGAAAGATCTCTAAGCTGGCTCTCCAGCGTTCCGTCATCTGCTCCAAGTGCGAGGGCCGTGGCGGCAAGGAGGGTGCTGTCAAGCGCTGCGCTGGCTGTGATGGCCACGGCATGAAGACGATGATGAGACAAATGGGTCCTATGATCCAGCGTTTCCAGACCGTCTGCCCTGACTGTAACGGAGAGGGCGAGACGATCAAGGACAAGGATCGCTGCAAGCAGTGCAACGGAAAGAAGACCATTGTCGACCGCAAGGTTCTCCACGTTCACGTCGACCGTGGTGTGAGGAGTGGCACCAAGGTTGAGTTCCGTGGTGAGGGTGACCAGGCCCCTGGCATCCAGGCTGGTGACGTTGTTTTCGAGATCGAGCAGAAGCCCCATAACCGCTTCACTCGCAAGGAGGACGACCTTCTGTACCAGTGCGAGATTGAGCTGGTGACTGCGCTGGCCGGTGGAACTATCTACATTGAGCACCTCGACGACAGGTGGCTCAGCATCGAGATCCTTCCCGGTGAAGCCATTGCACCTGGTATGTCAAATTCCGCGCTGCCTTTCATGTTCATAATTACTAACACGTCACAGATGCTGTCAAGATGGTTCGCGGCCAGGGTATGCCTTCTCCTAGACACCACGACTTCGGCAACCTTTACATCCAGTTCAACGTCAAGTTCCCTGAGAAGGGCTGGACAGAGGACCCCGCGGCCTTCGAGGCTCTCCAAAAGTTGCTTCCCGCCCCTTCGCTGCAAACCGTTCCTCCCCCTGAGGCTATGACCGAGCCCGCCGACCTCGAGGATCTCGACAACTCTTCCCAGGCTAGAGTCTTCGGAGGTGCTGGCGGTATGGACGAGGACGACGAGGACGGCCACCCCGGTGCCGAGCGCGTGCAGTGCGCTTCTCAGTAAATGACGTCATGTTCCGATGGTATTGATATTACGAGCATCTCTGGCGTGGTGGGGAGAAGGGGGCGTGGGCGAGATTTCTTTTCACAAACCCGTTCGACAGAACGAAATTGCATATTTTCTCCAGTCACGAATGGATGGACATGGTTGCATGAAAACGGTAACGGGGCTCGCCGTTGGGAGACCGTTCTCAGATGGTGGAAATCGACCAGCCACGACGTCTCGCCTAGACGCCCGTGTCGGGTTCGTCGAGAATGGAGGCTGGATTCAAGTGGACCAGCACACAGTAACAGGGAAATCTGGTCCAGCGCGTGCTTATTCTCAAAACATCACTTGGCTTCTTTTGCTCGACGGACATTCGAGACTTGGTAGGAAGGCGTTCACGGTCATAGAGAGGATAATTCGCTGAATCGAATTGATGATAAACGTGCCTGATTTGCTTTTGCCCACCTGATATATGCAGTCTTCGCAACGTAAACTTTGACGCAAGTTCTTCCCATGTCTATTCTTTTGACACAGGCTCGCCTTCAGCCTGCGCTTGTTCCTCGCCTTCTCCCTCCTCGCCATGCTCATCATCGCCTCGCTTGCGCAAGTCCTCGGTGTTGTAAAGCAGTTTTCTCACCTGCTCGTGGGACATGTCGAACTCAGCTTCACTCACGCTAGCGTCCTGGATTCCAAGATCCTGAGATGAGAAGGCGGCGCCAGTCCATCTAAAAGAGACGATACCGTTTGGTGCGGCGTCGTTCTCTGCCGGGTCAATGGTCACCAATATGCTCGTCATTGAGTTTTCGGTAACAATAGGTGCTACGTGAAGCGGGTTTCCAGGGAGCGAGATGGTTTGTACGTGTGAAAGGGTGCTGTCTTCCGCTAAACGAAGGACGAGGATGGCAGACACGCTGAATGCCGACTTAGCTAACATGGATTTGGTTTTAGAAATAAGGATAACGAACCTTTCGCATACTACCAGGACGACAGGCACCTGTAGGCCATTCTCCGTGACATTGGCCGAGAGCAGCTGGGAGACAGCGACCTTTGTCGTCTCCTTGTCGATTTGCTGAACTTGCCCCAGGATATCGAATTTGGAAAGGACCTTGCCGTTCTCCCAGTCCCAGGCGAACAGCTCGCTGTCTCCACCTCCCGAGACCAAGACATCCTGAGTCGGCAGCGTAAGCGCACTGATAAAGTTGCCGTGACCGAGGCAGAAGCCCTCGATGACGTGGGCGTGCGGCATGAAGCGCGAGACGCGGATGTGCTCATCGCGGTCGGCCGTGATGATGTACCGGCGGGACCCCTTTGACGCGAGCGTCAGGGCAGTGAGCATGGAGACGTGGCCGATCTGGAGCGTATGCTCAAACGTCGGCTGCTCCTTTGTGACGTCGCGCTTCGACTTTTGCTGCTCGCGCAGCTGGCTCTGGAGAGCGCGGAGGTTGCTCTTGGAGTGCACTGTGAAGGAGTTGGCTTCCGGCGTGAATGGTTTGGCAACCGCGGGGGCCGTCTCAGAGGCAGCCTCGGGCTGGGCCGCGGCGTCGAAGGATTGTGAGGCTTCCGAGGGAATTAGCGGCAGAGAGTAAACGTCTCCGAATTTGTCTGCGCTCAAGACGGTTTCGTTGTCTGGGCAGATGAGGACCGAACAGGGACGTTTGGGCATTTGTCTTTTGAGTTATGCGTTAAGGCTAATGTACATGACGGTGTAAGTCGAACAACGTACCTCTGGCTCAACTCCTTCAGGTTTCCCTTGCCGTCGTGCTCAAAGACCCAAAGAGACTTGTCATGACCCGAGATGGCCAATAGGTGACTTCCGTTGCTGGTGGTCGTCATGATAGTGATGACAGGGTAGTCCGGGACTCTCGCAAAAGCTGTGCCGCGGTTGTTTTGCTGGCCATCCCGGTTGTTGCGCCTCATGTTCTTGGTTCCCTTTCTCCTATCTCTTTTCTGATTTTCGGCCTTCTGAGGTTCGCTGTCGACAACCATGGCATCAGCATCCTTGACTTCTTCCTGGGCCGCTTCCGCCTTCCCCTCCTCGCCGCTATCGACTCTCTGACGTTTGGCGGGCGGTCCATCCTCCTCGTTGGCTGGGGTTGAAGGCGTGGGAACACCAGAGCTCACTTCAATCTCAACTTTCGCCGCAGCAGCTGACGCGGCAGCAGCAGCAGCCTTTTCGACGTCGGGATGCTTCCATGTTGAGATGTGAGCGCCGTCTGCCAGGCTGAAAGAGTGAATCTTTCCACCCCTGGCAGCAAAGACCACATTACCCGCAGGCTCGAGGCAGTTGTAGGGAACCTTCATCGTGAAAACGCGACTTATTCAGAGTTGTCCTCGCTCAATTGGCATGAGTTGAAGTTGCACCTGCAAGGGACGTAGAACTTTCACTTCAGACTCATTGCATCTGAGCACATGCCCCACCACCAGATCTCTGAGAGGAAAAAGAACGGTACAAGTCAACATGTATCTTTTTTTCTCCAAAGCTTGGGCCATCAATCTGCCTGCAAGCTGCCCCGCGCTTGTCCTCCTTTGGGACTAGACCCACTCGGTTGCCCTGATGGGGGCAGCGGCACCCGGCCGCAACACACACCGAAATTTCGTTTGGTGAAGCAAAAAGCGCAAATTCTGGGGACAGCTTTTTTTTTGCCTTTTGCAACATCAACTTTTGATACCCAAATTCCCATCACCAACCAATACCCAAAATTTCTTTTGCCCTTAAACAACCTGCCTTCGTAAATAAGAAGATATGGGGGGCAAAACTGCGAACAAGGCCGGCTACTTCGACAAGCTCAAGGGCTTGCTCGAGGAGTACAAGTCCATCTTCATCGTCACCGTCGACAATGTCAGCTCTCAGCAGATGCACGAGATCAGACAGTCCCTCCGTGGTGAGGGTGTCGTCCTGATGGGAAAGAACACCATGGTACGTTTTATTACGGCGCGAGGCTCAATCGCGCATCGCCGACCTTGGAAGAACGCGTTTGCTAACCAAAGTGTGAAATCTAGGTTCGCCGTGCCCTCAAGACCTTCATCCCCGACTCCCCCGAGTACGAGCGTCTCCTTCCCTTCGTCAAGGGTAACGTCGGTTTCGTCTTCACCAACGGCGAGCTCAAGGACGTCCGTGACAAGATTCTCGCCAACAAGGTCGCCGCCCCTGCCCGTGCCGGTGCTCTCGCTCCCGCCGATGTCTGGGTTCCCGCCGGCAACACCGGTATGGAGCCCGGTAAGACCTCTTTCTTCCAGGCTCTCGGTGTCCCCACCAAGATTGCCCGTGGTACCATTGAAATTGTGTCCGACCTGAAGCTCGTCGAGGCCAACACCAAGGTCGGCCCCTCCGAGGCCACCCTCCTCAACATGCTGAACATCTCCCCCTTCACCTACGGCATGGGTATCGCTCAGGTCTACGACCAGGGCAACTGCTTCCCCGCTGATGTCCTCGACATCTCCGAGGAGCAGCTCCTCAAGACCTTCGCCGGCGCTGTCACTGCCATCGCCGCCGTCTCCCTGGCCATCAACTTCCCCACCCTTCCCTCCGTCATCCACTCTTTCTTCAACGGATACAAGAAGGTTCTCGCTGTCGCCATCGAGACCGACATCTCCTGGCCCGAGATCGAGCAGCTCAAGGACCGTATCGCCAACCCCGACGCTTACGCCGCTGCCGCTCCCGCTGCCGGTGCTGCTTCCGGCGGCGCTGCCGAGACCAAGGCTGAGGAGAAGGAGGAGGAGAAGGAGGAGGAGTCCGATGAGGATGGCGGCTTCGGCGGTCTCTTGTATGTTCACCCAACCCTTCTGCGCGTTTCGCCATTGCTAACATCCTTTCTAGCGACTAAATTTGACGGGAAATCGGTGATGTTACGGCTACTATCTGGGCTACGAATGGGTTTACGAAGATACGTTGATCTTGATCGCTGTATAGATGGGTTGCCGGTCAATCAAGCACATCGCATTTGACGGCAAAAACAATCCGCTCTTGACTCTTGGTGATGTGACTCTGCTCGTGAGCATTCACTTCTCCGTCTCTCAAAGGTTAGTACTTGCTTTTTCTCTTCTTTCTACAACTTCCCCCTCGCTTCCTATGATTATTTAAATGTTCAAGAGCTTTTTAACCCTGATCTACTTGATGTCACACACAATTTCCGTATGAGAGAGCAACTTCAATCATTATCTTTACTTTTCAGCCTCGCTTCCACTTGGGTATCATGGCTAACATACAAAAGTGTACAGGTTTTACTATACACCGCCCATATCGTACAGTGACCTTATCCCGCCTTTTCCCATGCCGCCAAACGTGATGACCACCATCTCTTACTCAGCCTTAGCTTTTCAAATACCAAGAACCTTTTTCGCGATGCCTACAGCCGCTTGAGGCAGATTGGCCAATCTTGCAACCTTCAGTGCGTGACTCTGCCTGTTGATGCCCTTGACCAGCTTATGAACGTAGACGAACCCGCCGTCCTCATCCTCGTCCACATCCGTACAATACATCTCCACCCGTGCCCGCTCACCATCACCCTCGCCGCCGCCCAACCCATCCCGCACCGCCAAGTCGGCAACGCGGTGAAAGTGCGTGGCGAACAGCGTCCGACACTGGTTGACGGTCACCAGATGATGCAGACAGGCGTACGCGACCGCCGTGCCGTCCTCGGGCGTCGTGCCGCGACCAATCTCGTCCATGATGACAAAGGACCGCGGCGTCGCGTTACGCAAAATGTGCGCCGTCTCCATCATCTCCACCATGAAGGTGCTCTGGTCCCGGTAGAGGTTGTCCGCGGAACCGACCCGGCTGAAAAGAGCGTCGACGACGCCTATCTCGGCGTAATCGGCCGGCACGTAGCAGCCCACCTGCGCGAGGATTGTGATGAGGGCGTTTTGGCGGAGAAATGTGCTTTTGCCTGCCATGTTGGGCCCCGTGATGAGCCAGAGCTTCGCCCCTTGGGGGCCGGAGCCGGAGCCGCCTCCTACTAGACAATCATTGCGGACAAAGGTGCGCCCTTGCTCGTGGAGTCCGCCCTCGACGGTGGGATGCCGACCGCCGATGATGGTGTGGCCGGTGGAGTTGTTGACGATGGGCCGGGTGAGGCCCTGCTCGACGGCGAGCTTGGCAAAGGAGGTGGCGATGTCGAGCTCGTCGAGGACGGCGGCGTTGCGACGCAGCTTGACGAGGTTCAGCACGACGGCGGCGCGGAGGGCGTGGAAGACGCGCTGCTCCTCGGTGCGGATGCTGTGCCGGGCGTGCTCGAGCTGGTGGCCGAGCCGCGTCCACTCCGGGTCGTGGAAGGAGCTCGTCGACTTGCTGGAGCTCAAGGCCCTGATGCTGGTGGAGGCGCGGGCGGCGTCCTTGCCCCTGATGTGGCAGAAGTGGCCGAGGGCCGGGGACCAGCGGAGGGTCAGGGAGGCGGCGCCGTGGCGGTCTCGGAGCGTCTCCGTGAGGGACTCCTTCTCAGCGTGGAGGGCTGCTAGGTCGGCGTGTAGCCGGCGTAGGACAGCGCTGGCTTCGGGTTTCATGATCCACGTCTCGTTGTCATCGGCGTAGGCCTCCCGGACCGAGGTGGGGCGCTTCTTCTTGGCCGCGGCGGCGGAGGCTCCCTTGGGGAGGGCAGCTGCGTCATCTTCTGTGCCTTCGTTACTGACGATTTCCTGGGCGAGGGCCATCATCTGCCCCGCCTCGCTAGCCTCGATCTCATGCTGGTGGACGATGCCCTCCTCGTCGATGGCATCCTTGATACGGCGCGCGAGACTCAGGGGCCCCTTGAGGTTCAGGCGGGCCGTCATGTGCGCGAGGCACTTTGTCTCGTCGGCTGCTTCCGCCAACAGCTGATGGATACTGTTGGTGGCATGGATCGTGTTCGCCAGGGCCACCAGGTCGTCCGGGTCTCCTCTGCCGAGAGCGAACTTCTGCACGAGTCGCTGGGAGTCGTGGCTGCGGCGGAGCAGCAGGACCACAGCGTCGCGCAGGTCCGGCTCCTCGATGAAGCGGGCGACCAGGTCTTGCCTGAGCTTGATGGTGTCGAGCGACGTGGACGGCGCGCTGAGCCAGTCATTGAGGAGCCGGGCGCCGCTCTTGGTGGCCGTCCGTCTGATAGCGTGGAGAAGGCTGCCGCGAAAGTTGCCGTCCCGGATCGTCTGTTTAATCTCGAGTGAGCGCACACTGTTCTTGTCGATGCCCATGATTTGCATGTTCTCGTGTCGCGTCGGCGGCTGCAGCTTCATGCTCAGCCCTAGCAGCCTCTCCTTGACGTAATGCAGCAGGAGACTGCCGGCCGTTACCTCGCGTTCGGTGAAGGCATCGTGCGTGGCCTGAGGGATTTCGCTCTCCAGCATAAAGGTCCAATCAGAAAGACGCCTGATGTCGCCGAGGGGACTGTACGTGACCAGATGACGGTCCTCTGCGAGGATGGGTGACAGGCCATGGTCGGTCTGGGCCTGGATCTCGCTGTCAAGCACGACTTCTTTGGGGCATATCCTCGACAAGATCGAAGATAGAGCCGACAGATCGGTGGTCTGCGTATAGAACTGGCCGGTGGACAGGTCTAGCCAGGCAAGGCCCAGGGGTAGCGGTGGTGGTGCGGCAGAGTCACCAGTTGCCGGAGTCAGGCTCCGGTCAGTGGCTGAATGGGACGAGTCTGGGGCTCCTGTCTCGTCTACCCCTCCCCCGGACTGGGCTGTCGTCGCATGGATAGCCAGCACGTAGTTATTGGCGTAGGGATCCATGAAGTTCTCATCAATCAAGGTTCCTGGCGTGATGACACGAGCAACTCTCCGATCATGCAACAGGCCACCGGACTTGACCTTCTCGGACGCATTATTGGGAAACTCCTCAGCAATGGCGACATAGCGATTCAGATCCTGGACCAGCATCTTGAGGAACCGATCCAGCTGAAAGAAGGGAAAGCCGGCCTAGTAACCATCACATATCAGAACCAAAGAACACGAGACTAACAACACACGTTTTTCTGGTACACGAGAGGAGAACTAATTTACCATGGAAACCGGACCGGCACTCGTCTTTTTCTGAGCAACCTTGAGGTTCAAGAGGGGGCCGAACTCCTCGGCGTGCTCAAAGTACAGCTCATAGAAACCGCCGACACGCGTCAAGAGCACGCAGTTGTCGAATTTTTGCATGTTGCGGCGCGCTTGCAGCACCACGGTTGGATAGGTCGGGCCCTCATCTTGCACGGGGCGGGGATCCAGCGGCAAAACGCCCTGGGGTAGATCATCCAGCTTCACTTTGGACTTTGTCTTCTTGCCCCTGGCAAAGACGGACAAGTGCCAGCTCCTCCCGCCCGGCAGTCCATAAACTCCAAATTCTCGGCCGAAGCTGGAGCCGCGAGTCACTCCATCGCAGCGGCGCAGGCGGAGGTGATGTGCGGAGACAGAACAAGATCGGGCAGTAGTCAGTAACGGGGTAACCAGATCATGACAGGCGAGTGTGGTGAGTGGTCGGGGTAACATGTGAGCATATCATGAATGTGAGCTGTTTGGACGCGATGTCGATCCAAGTTTTTTTCTTCGGTCTTGTTGGTTGGTTGGGTTAGTCAGTGTAGGTACATGCGCAAGGGAGCTTAGGAATGTAGTGTGGTGCTGTGACGGCAAGCGGAGGTTACAGTCGAATGATGAGATAATGATTCGGGTAAAAGATAGATGGAAACCGGGGTTAGAATGGGCTGAATGGAAATCATGCGAGCGGCAGCGCGGACGTGAATTATCGCGAGATTTTTCGGGACGGTAGCTTGAATCCGCCCGAATCGATTGGTTCCCATTGGGAGGATTCTTTGCAGACGGGCCTGGCAAGCCGGTCGCTGTGAACTGCTGTGTGGGGCACATGGTCCAGGTGTCCGGGTTTGTGGTTCGCACCGCGTTGAAGTGCCTTAAGTTGAGGTAAGGTAGCATGGCATACGTACAGACCGGGGTGGAAATGGCATGACATGTTCCTGAAGGCTATCGGCGATAATGAGTTAAACGAGGCCCTCTGTGTCGTCGGAGATGTGACGGCGGGGGCCTGCTTACACCAACACAATTACACAATGGACGGGAGGCAATCGGACTGCGGGCGATAACGAATGCCTGCGGATTCCCTGTGATCTGGATAAAGCCAGTCTATTGCAGTGGTAACGTAATCATTGCGGAAGCTTCGCCAACCGGATGCAGGACCAAACAAGAATGGAGTTGCCAAGCGGAGAAGAAACGGGGTTAATGGAGAAGGAGACAATATCGGAATTAGGGGTCCTGTACCCGCAGAAGTAAGGTCCTGTTTGGCCCATCGAGACAGATAGAGCCAGTCTTGTAAGCAAGATTCGCGGCGAAAGGGAGGGATGCGTCAAGATCGCAGTTGCTGTGAGCGCGAAAAAGCCAAGAAAGGATAGCATCAATGACGATCAAAGATTGCGTTTGCTGTAGGGTGTTGCGTTTGGGTAGGCACGTTGGTTCTTTTTTACGGGTACCTGCCTGGTGTGCATCATCGTCTTACGAGACTCTGTTTCGTCTAGCGTCATTCTGTTGGACAGGTCGTACGTAGCAGGGACAAGCGTGGAGGCCCGTTGGAGTTGAAAGGGCCACAATTACAACAACATGTTGGCCAAGATAGGGAGATTCAATGGATCATGGTGTGTGGGTAACAGTGCGCTCCTGTAATGGATGACTGTATTTCTTTCCAGTACACTCGTCTCGAGGGTGAAGATCTCAAGCCCTGGGTCGTTTTGGATGGAAGGTTCGGGTAGTCTTGGGCCAGAGTTGCGGAACGATCCGGCAGCGTGGTTGCCTCGTTGCAGCAAGGAGGTGAATGAAATGATCAGAATTTCGGGCGCAAAAACACAGTGCCTGACACGCCAACAGCGCCTGGACAACCACTGAGAGGGAGCGAACTCTCTGTTGGTGGTGAGGCTGATGCCATAGTGCATTGCTCTGCGGGCGATGGTCGAATGATAACACCGTCATGTTGAGATTGACAGGGCGGGGGTCGCATCATACGCAGCGGTCATGGCCATATCGTGGCTCACCGGCCATTGGGATCAACGGACAGCTGGATCCATCACCTTGGCCATTTCGGGTCTTTTGGGTCTTTAGGGGGAACTTAACCTATGAGCCTGGGACTGCTTGCAGGAAGGCGGATGAGGGTGGGCTGGAGACAATCAAAGATGGGCAGACGGGCAGAGGTTGCCGCCGCCCCAGAACACCCAATCTCCATTGTGCGGCAATACCCTGCGTTTCTTGCCCCTTCCAGGTAGCTTTGCGTTGCCTTCCTAGCTTGACAACTTCTTGTGTGTACTGTGTGCTGGCGGTGTCTGGGCCTAGACACATGGCAGCGGCGGCATGGGAATGTCCGGTTACGATGGATAGACATGGGCTGTTGTGTTTTGGCATTAACGATGGATGGAGAACAGAATCCGCAGGCCAGGACCCGATCCGCGGCGCGCGGGGCTGCAAAGGGGGTTTGGTAAGGGGGAGAGAGCCGATGTGAACAAAAGATGGAGTTAAAAAGCGCAAGTTGCGTTGATGTTGTGCGAGTGTGGCTACTAAGACGGCATGGGTGATGATGGGGTAGCTTGGTCTGGCAGCGGCTGCTGGAGGCTATCTGGAGAAGACATCGTCGGATGTGCACGCATGTGGACGCAAGGCAGACGATGGGACAGTGCAACATGGGATTATGGGGAAATGGATGGTTCGGATCGTAGCATGCCACACTCATACCAGGCGACTGGATGATGCCTGGATGAGAGTCCACCCACTTCACCCAGGCTGGCTATCGAGGTGAGGTGTAATGAGGTTAGGTTGGGCCCGGAGAGTTGCGACGACGTGTAAGCACAATAATGCCACCCACTGCTTACCTCACCTGCACCGGATACATCGCTTGTTACGGAAGGGACAGAACAGCTTGACCGCCCTTACCTCCCTTTACCTTAGGCACCTTGGTAAGCAGGTACCTTACTTTACAGGAAGGTAATGTGCTTGACCGGTAAATGGCCGTAAGGAAAGCACAATCCCCTAATCCCTATGTCCGCTTGATGGATGGAAAGTGCGACGGACAGAAGAAGGAGCACCTTCGAGAGAGAGAAAGAAAAGAGGACCCACCCGTGGCTCACGGGATGGCCGTTGTAAGCGGAGTTGCAACAAGTCGGTGAAAGTACCTGGGGCGCCCGCCCTACAGCATCGAGGTACGTGGGGTACGTACCGGGCCTGGCCCCAAAAGTACGGCGCGGTTGCCATTCGGTATCGACCGATTTCGACTCCTTCTCAGCCCATTCCCGCTCACTCTCCAAATTTATCATCAGACCCTTGGCCCAAACATGGCAACATGCGCCGTCATGTCGCCCTTTGCATTTGAAATATCGCCTTGTAGGTATATATCTCTTTTTCAGTGCCCCCCGTTTCCAACCAGTCACCCCTCATTTCCTACCGAACACTTGGTTTGATACGTCTACCTCGCCTGTCTATCTGTCTTCAGCGGATCCCATCCATCCCACACCCTTATCCGTCTCATCTGCTGCCAACACTACTACTACTACCACCGCCCACCACAACCACTACTATTACTCCCGCCGCTCCCAACATCCACGACTCCTTCCTGGTCCTCGATCCTCCCGGACTCACCTCAATCTGTTATCTATCACTACCGAATACCTTATCCTACGACTTGTCTAGTATTTCGGATATTAGACTCCATCCCCTCGTTGCTGTTACGAACGTGTCTTCGATCGACAACAGAGCGAACCCGCTTACACGTCCCGGTGCACTTACAACTTGAACCACAATAACACCAAACCAACTACACCACGTTCCCCGATCGAGCAACGCTGCTCACATCACAACCACCCTTTATGGCGGCGCATCTACCTACAATCAACTTCAACCCTTTAGCTCCCGTCACACCTCCGCCCGAGCATCTCTCCTTCCGGAAACCTGCACTTCCCCTGTCTGCTCAGCTGAAACGCAAGGCCGCCGAGGCCAACATCACCAATGATCATGTCACAATGAAGAAGGAGCAATCACCATTAAACAACCCGTCCATGGCCCCTCCAAAGCCGACGTCGATTCCTAGTGCGAATGCAGACCCGAACCAGCCGTCCATGGATCCCCGATATGTCGCCATGGTTTCGCGTATCGCCGCCTATTACCAGCAACGTTGCCAGGCTATCTCCAACGCGCAGCAGCAAAGATGCCAGGCTTGGGCCAACATGCACAGGCAAAAGTGTCAAGAGATGATGCAGGCAGCCATGCTGGTGGTGGCTTGGTACATCCGCGATCGGATTCAGCGAAGACGCCGGAGGCAAAAGAAGCAGTTCCGCACCGGCTTGAGGGCGCAGAGCACCCGGTCCCGCGTTACAAAGGGCGAAGGAGTACGGCGCTGGGTCATGAATGTGCCCGAGGGCATGTCATCACCGCACATCCCGGGGCTCGATGACATCGCTGACCAAGAGGAAGCCCACTTCTCCATGGACAAGGAGGTCCCACCGGACAAAGACACCAAGCTATTTGAGATGGCCGACAACATGATTAGGAGTCAGTACCGCAAGGTGGAAGTGCCCATCCTCGGCGTGCTAGGCTTCGAGGAGGACGAAAGCGAGAGTGAGAGCGAGGCCGATGACGACGACTTTGACCAGCTCATGGAGGATGAGCTCGAAGATGGGGAAGTTGAAGAATACGACGATGAAGATTTGGATCTAGACGATGAGGACGAAGAGGATGGATCCGAACTCGTTCACCGCGGTACGGGCACTGGCACCGGAAGTCGGGGCAAGGACTCTGGCTTGTCATCTTGAAGTTGGTGTTTGGGGACTTGAGGTTTGCTTCTTTCTCGGCTTTTTGCTTTTTTAATGCGCGGGCGTTTAACGGCGGGCATGGACAACGATGTGACGATTGGATTATTTACCCTGGGCGATCTACATACCTTGCTATTTTGGCCACTCTGCACATAGTATCTATATATCCTGGACCGCGTCTGTAGGAAACAAAGACGAACATTCTTACAAAATTTTGAAATCATCCCATTCTACAAGTCTCAGCTGATGAGTGATCATCTCAAGCCTTGAAAAGCCGATGGATACTGCCTCTGAACTTGCAAAGTGACAGAAGTAGATGGGGGGGAAACCTTAAATCGGGGATCGTATGTTGGCGGGCACCGATTTTTTAAATCTCGTGGAACGATCGAACCATCGCTTTTCGCTTACGAACAGCAAGCCATGCCCTTCAACCAACCGGGGTCGAGCTTGTCTTTTATTGGTGCCACTTCCGTCGGTTGACATTTTCCGCTTCTTTTTCTCTTGCACATGGGAAGTGGAGGAGGTCCCCTATGAAAGAATGTGCCCTCGGACTCTTAACTGGTAATCTGGTCATCGCGATCAAGCTGCCGCCGGTTCCCCATTTGACTGACAAGCGATATGCGCACTCATCTGCATGTCTCCCATTCCCTACAGGTTGCCCCGGATATCCACCTCGTTCTACCCTTATATGCAAGCGAAGGCGTACAGAACTGACACCTGCTCTGCCCGATGTCCCCCAATGATGTGACCTCTTTTTGTCGTTGTATTGGTGTAACTGTAGTTGCGTCTCGAGCTCACAAGACCACTTTTTGTCAAATCGTGGTGCATGATGTTGCGTTTGATGGCTGGGCAACTGTTCACGAGATCCAACTCGGAGTTGTGAATATTTATGACTAATTATCCTGACTATATAACATGTCTTTCCCTCTCCCACCATTGCTATCAACCTGACCTGTTGTATGGACATTGAATTCGAAAGCGAGTATGGGAAACAATGCAATGTGGTCGAGATAGTGAACGAGTAGTCCGGGTAGGGAGGTGACCAAAATATTCAGCCACAGCGTAGTTCGTTGCGGAGCCCGCTTCATAGGTAGTCGTAACTTAGGTTTCTAAGAAGCACTGCGTACTCGCCCACTTCAGGCGCAGCAGGAGCATTTTGGACCGCGATACCTGTATGACCATGGATGAACCAAAGGTAAGTTGCAAGTGCGCCAGTCGAAAGCAACCGTACTTGCGTGTTTTGTGCATACCGGCTGGGGGTAAGTGCACTCGCTCGAAAGCAATGAAAATATGACTTACACCGACGAAGGTACATTCTGGTTGTCTCCAAATTCTATCGTCAACATCACACTTACTGCAAGGTGGCATTCGACACCTCACAATAACAAGCTGTGCTCTGCATTGTTTCTTGTTTCTTTCTTCGAGGGCACTTATTCCTTTTTGGTGGCCATTCGCATATCCTCATTGTACTCGTCTACCTCATCTCCATCTGTGGCGCTTCTTGCACCGGCTATCTCAGCCCGGGCGGGTATCGAATCACAATCCTAACACCGGTCTTGTCGACAATCCTTTATACCGTCACCTTCCCCTCTCAGCCGCTGGGCGCTGTATTCGTATCACCACATCGACAAGATGAGGTATGTGAGGTGCTCTCAATGGTGGACGATCCACCGAGCATATTCCGCCCGGTGTTCCGAGCTACTTAGCTTCTCCAAGGGGGATCGCATGATGGCTGCGTCACCTCTATCACACGCCCATCCTTTGCCCAACCTCCCCGCACTTGTCGCTGCACCGAGCTGTCCCCGCACGCTCCTACTGGCTGTGTTTCAGCGTCTGTCTATCTGTACTGCAGGGGTACTCCCGTGCTCTACCTTAGCTCCCCCCTCAAGAGCTTCGAGTCCGTCTCTGCTTTCAGACAATCCCGAGGTCAAAGCTAACAAGAACACCCTCCTTTCGTAGCCATAACAAGTCCAAAACCCTTAATCAACACCTCAACGACGCCTTTCGAGCTTCCCAGTCTTCAGAAGAACAAGGCGCCGGTCCACCTCTAGCTGCTTCGCGACCCGATCATCACCACTTATTGGTACCCCATCGTGTTCGCCGATTGAACAATCGATCAGCTCCACCTGGTACCGTCGAGCAATTGAAGCGGTCCGAAGACAGGCTACTCGACAGCTTCGCTGGACAGACCACCATGGGCGGCGGAAAAGAACTCAAGAGCAAGAGCTCTTACCCAGCTCTCGCCTCTCGACCTGTCGGACAATGGATCTCAAAGCTCTACAAGGATAGAATTAACCAATTCTACTCTACCGGGCAATGGGAGAAGCACAATCTCCTGGCGTGCGTAACCCCCCACAATGCCCCGTAGTAAAGCTGGGGAACGTCCCGCTAACTGCGCTATAGCATGATGACGGAGGGCACTGCATCGGGCGAGCCTCATGTTAAACTGTCCGTCTGGGACGCTCCCGAAACCACTCGACCGACGTTCAAGGACGCTGTTTCGCACGAATTCAAAAAGACCGAGGTAGGCGCCTGGTTTGGCCCATCATGGTCGACACATTGGTTCAAGGTTGTCTTGACCGTTCCGAAAGAACTTCGTGACAAGGACCTGCTTGAACTTCACTGGGATGCCAATAATGAAGGCCTCATCTGGACCGAGGATGGCAAGCCGCTGCAGGGTCTTACTGGGGGTGGCGAGCGGGTAGAATGGATCCTGCCCAAGGAGTTCAGGGACGGCAAGGAGCACACCATCTACATCGAGATGGCCTGCAATGGCATGTTCGGAAACGCTCCCGGTGGAGACTCGATCCAGCCTCCAGACCCAAACAAGTACTTCCAACTGGGACGGGCTGACATAGTTGCTGTCAACCCCGAAGCACGAGCACTTTACTTCGATATCTGGATCATTGGCGATGCTGCACGGGAGTTTCCTCAGGAATCGTGGGAGCAGCACAGAGCTCTCAAGGTTGCCACCGATGTCATTGACGCCTTTGAGCTCGGCAACAAGGAATCGATCGTAAAGTGTCGAAAGATTGCCCAGGAGTACCTTGGCTCGAATGTCGACTCGCACAAGGTCTACAGCGATGACAAAGAGCCTCAAGTCTACGGCATTGGCCATTGTCATATCGATAGTTGTTGGCTCTGGCCTTGGGCTGAGACCAAGCGCAAAGTCGTCAGGTCTTGGTCTAACCAGTGCGATTTGATGGATCGATACCCGGAGCTGAACTTTGCTTGTTCGCAAGCCCAGCAGTACAAATGGTTGAAGGAGTTGTACCCATACGCCTTTGATCGTGTCAAGACGAAGGTCAAGGAGGGCCGATTCCATCCTATCGGAGGCAGCTGGGTCGAGCACGACACCAACATGCCCAGTGGAGAGTCTCTTGTGCGACAATTCCTGTACGGACAGAGATTCTTTGAGAGCAACTTTGGCGAGCGTTGCCAGACCTTCTGGCTTCCCGACACCTTTGGATACGCTGCTCAGCTTCCACAGCTATGCCGACTTGCTGGCATGAATCGCTTCCTCACCCAGAAGCTCAGCTGGAACAACATCAACAACTTCCCACACACCACCTTCAACTGGGTTGCTCTTGATGGTAGTCAAGTAATTTGCCACATGCCGCCATCAGAGACCTACACTGCCGAAGCACACTTTGGCGACGTGAAGCGCAGTGTCAGCCAGCACAAGTCGATGGACCAGGACCACACCTCCTTGCTTGTATTCGGAAAGGGCGATGGTGGCGGCGGCCCTACTTGGCAGCACCTCGAAAAGCTCCGCAGGTGTCGCGGTATCTCCGATCAGATTGGCATGTTGCCTAGAGTGCAGATGGGCAACAGCGTCGATGACTTCTTTGACAAGCTACAGCCGAAAGCCACAGAGTTTGTCACCTGGTACGGCGAGCTCTATTTCGAGCTTCATCGCGGTACATACACCACGCAGGCGAACAATAAGCTCAACAACCGCAAGTCGGAGGTCCTGCTCAGGGAAGTTGAACTGCTTGCCACCATTGCGACGCTTAGTGATACCAGCAAGAGCTACAAGTATCCCAAGAAGGAAATCGACGATATGTGGGAGGCTGTTCTGCTCTGCCAATTCCACGATTGTCTTCCGGGTAGCTCCATCGAGATGTGTTACGATGATTCAGACGAGGTAAGTCTCGACGCAGCGGATTTCACCTGAACTATTGCTAACTAGATTGGCTAGCTCTATGACATGGTCTTCAAGACGGGCAAGAAAATTCTTGAGGATATCCACAGTGTCTTTGGAGCGTCCGCCGCCACCACCGGCCGTCTTAGTGAGACGGTCGCCCTGAACACTCTCCCTTGGCACCGCAAGGAGGTCGTCGAAATATCCGAGACCGAAGCGGGTGTTGCCTGTGGCGAGGGCCAGTTGTTGACCATTCGCCCCTTCAAGATTTCTGAAGAAGAACCAGCTGTTACGATTGAAGAAGTCAGCAGCGGCGTCTTTGTCTTACAAAACGACCAGCTCAAGGTCAAGGTCGAGAATGGCACCATTACATCCCTCTACGACCGCAATGCCGATCGCGAGGTGATCGCAAAGGGAGGCAAGGCCAATCAGTATGTCATCTTTGATGACAAGCCTCTCTACTGGCAAGCCTGGGATGTCGAGGTGTACCACCTCGATACTCGAAAGGAGCTGCCGAGTGGCACAACCTCAATTACTGAGCAAAAGGCCCATCGCGTCAGCTTGACTACTCAGATCAAGATCAGCGCAGAGAGTTCGATCAAGTCCACTATTTCTCTCTCCGCCGCCCTCAAGGGACAACAGTCATGGGTTGAGTGCAGTGCTGAAGTTGACTGGCACGAGACTATGAAGTTCCTCAAGGTCGAATTCCCTGTGGATGTCAGAAATACCGAGGCCTCTTACGAAACAGCGTATGGTCTTGTGAAGCGACCTACTCACTACAACACCAGGTATGCTTTTCCCGATATGTCATGATAGAGCTACTGCTAATGAATTGTATAGCTGGGACATGGCCAAGTTCGAGGTCTGCTGCCACCGTTTCGCTGATCTCTCTGAGCACAACTACGGAGTTTCTATCCTCAACGACAGCAAGTATGGTTTCGCCACTGTCGGCAACCTGCAGCGCCTCTCTCTTCTTCGGTCTCCCAAGGCTCCTGATGCTCACGCTGACATGGGAACCCACCAAATTCGCTGGGCAATCTTCCCTCACGAAGGAACGCTGAGCTCCTCCACTGTGCGGGCAGCCTATGCCTTTAACAGCCCTCTGAAGCTACTCTCTGCGCCCAGCGCCGTGCAGGCATCCCTCAACAAGAGCCCCGTGAAGCTCACTGGGGATGGCTCTTTGATCCTCGATACCGTCAAGCGTGGCGAGGACGACGAGGATGTAACGCGTGGCGAGCTCCCCAAGCGCAAGGGCCGCAATGTCATTCTTCGCGTTTACGACAGTCTCGGCGGCCAGAGCAAGGGTGTTATTGAGACGACTTGGGACGTCAAGCGCGTTTTCAAGTGCAACCTTTTGGAGGACGACATTGAGGAAATCAAGATCGACGATGGAAAGTTCTCGATTACTCTGCGACCCTTCGAGATCGCAACATACCGCCTCGAGTTGTAGGATGAAGACTTGAGCGACTGCGGTCTCGATCACGAGTGTCCTTCGGATGAGGATGAGTATGACGAGGTGAACGAACAGCTCGCCTCCACCTTGAGCGAGATCTTGGACCATGAGTATGTACACTTGGGCTAGGAGGCGCTGCGATGGATAATGAAGGCTTTTAGTAGGCGCCTGGGACGTGAATACCTGTACTTCAAAAAACTCTTGAAAAAACCAAAAGAAGAACCCAGAATATCTCTCTAGCTCCTTTGCCTACATACGCCCTCCCTAGAACGCCGTGGTGACATGAAGCCTATGGAATCTTCCCTGGGAATAGTAGAAAGATGAAACATCGTTATACAATACATCACTCTTTGCGCAAACCTCTTGGTTTCATTCGTCCTCTGGGTCCGTCTACCTCGTTCACAATGATCCCTCTTGAGGCAGGTCTTCGATGACGCTCTCCACCAGGTCAATGAGCTCGTCAATGTCTGGCCTCTCAGTAGGCTCGACATTGAGACATTTCCTCACGACATCGCGAATGGGCTCGCTAATCTTGACTTCTCCGGCTCCCGCACCAGCGTCCGCCGTGGCGGCCGCTTTGCCCTTCATGCCGCCGCTGGTTCCCGTGCGCTTGATGCCCTCGTCGGGGAAGCGCCAGTCGCCGCCGAGGACGCACATGCTGAGGGAGCCGCCCGTCTCATCGGAGCGGGCCTCAAAGGGGGACTTGCCGACGAGGCAGGCGTAGAGGGTGCAGCCCATGGACCAGATGTCGACTTTTGTGTCGATGACGGTTCCCGTGCGGACGTCGAAGAGTTCGGGGGCGCGGTAGGGCATCGTGCTGTGCTCGGCGGCCGTGTCCTGGACCGCGATGGCAAGGGAGTGGGACGTTATCGGGATTGGGGAGGGGGCGATGGAGCCCAGGTCCATTAGGATTGGGTTTGAGCCCGAGTCGTCAATCATGATGTTGCCTGTTCAGGTCGTACTGTTAGTCTTGGGCGCATGTCTTTCTGAAGAGTAAACGGGGGTGATTAGGGATCAGGGGGCAACGAACCTGGCTTGATATCCCGATGCGCGTACGACTTTACGTCCCCGGACCCAGGCGTCTCGCCCTCCATCAGCGGCCTCTGCTGCTCGTTCTCGTCCTCCTCGTCTGCGCCCGCGGCGGCGGCCATGCTGGAGACGCGCTTCCCGCCCTTGTTCTTCTTTCCGCTCTTCTTGCGCTTCGGCCCGGCGCCCTGGTCGTCTTCGTCGCCGTTGCCCATCTCCATCCTCTCCATTGCGGCGGGCTGTGACGAGGATTGCCCGCCGCCGCCGGTGTAGTGATGCATCTCCCTAAGCGCCTTGCACACCCCGAGAAACAGGAGCATGAGCCTGCGCTCGGGGAAGGCGGTGTGATTTACGAGGTTGGCGTTGATGAGGTCCTGGAGGTTGCCGCGGCGGTAGTAGGGGAGGAGGACGTAGACCGTCTTTGATCCGGGCTCGCCGCCGCGCTCGGTGGCGATGGCGTGGTCGACGCCGTGGATGATGCCCGGGCTGCGGGCGAAGAGGCGGTAGGCGTCGACCTCTTTCATGGCCTGGGCGACCGACTCTGCGCCAAAGGGGCATCGGATCTTTTTGAGGGCGAATTCTTCGGCGGTTTGGGTGTCTTGGACGAGGTAGACGTAGGAGAAGCCACCCTGTGTGTTTTCGCAATGATTAGTACATGTTCCAATTCGTCAAGTTGTGGAAAAGAGGAGAGCGCGAATAAGCTTACCTCGCCCAGCAGGCGGAGGATCTTGAAGCTCCGACTGTTGATCTTGAGTGTCGGCGAGCCGGGGAAGCAGTTGAGGCAGTTGCCGAAGGAATAGAGGACGTCGAGGAATATTTGCGCCATCTTGAAGGGCGGTTGTGTACTGATTGCGTAAAGACGACTGGGGGTTTCAACCCGGTACGATACGTTAATTCTAGGGGATTGTCGTCGAGTTCGCGTATGGTAGACGTTGAAGCGTTGGTGTTGCAGACCGAAGAGATTCCGTAGTCGTCCGTTCTTGGTCGGCGTATTGGTGATCGGACACTTTGAGAAGAGAGAGCGTATCCTCTACCCGGAATTGGAAGTCCGTGAGGAATGAGGTCGGGAGAAAAGTGTCGTTAAGCAAGTCCCGCGATTGGAACTACGCGGATAAACAATCGAAATGACAAAAATAGGCCCGACGGGTTCGAATGCTGTAAGATCGTGGGATTCTGCGTTGGCGCGCGATTGAAGAAACAAGAATCAGGACAGCTAATAGCTTGCCCGCTTACTTGCTAGGTACTGTGCTGCTGCCGCTGCTGCTTGCTTGCTTTCCCCCCGGTAACCAAAGTGGGCAGGAAGCTGACGGGTTGACGGGGACGCTGACGCAGGTCCGTAGTGCTGCGGTACGGTCCACGTCCCAGTAGTGCGCTTCCTAGGATCCGCTTTCGGGGAACGCGGCACTCGGGGAGGGCCGTTGTAGAGTCTGCAATCAAGTATTTAGATATTCTAGTGTAAAGTCGCCGGGGAAGAATGCGACTATTCTATGCATGTCGCAAGCAATTGTCAAAGACGCGATCACTATTTTCAACGTGAAATCAAAGGAGGAAAAAAAAAATACTACGAAAACTTTGACACGATCTGAGGCGACTTCCTCAAGGAGATAGAAACATCAAATCAACAACGGAGTATGTACTTCACCAAACGTGCCTGTCACCCAATCCCCAGCTCTGGGCTGCGCCCTGCTGAGGATTTGAGGTACGAATCCTCGTCGTGCGCAAAGGCTGTGAAACGCCACCAGGGACCCTCTGAGGTGGAGAAACGAGGACGGGCACACACTGGAGAGCGGCATTGAACACTAGAGGCTCCCGGCCGGCAGCGACGGGAAGACCCTTGTCGTCTGAATGAAGCGCGTCCTCTGGGAACACTTGATGATGTTGACTTCTTGACCGAAGAGCTTCACAGCCCATGGAAATCTCCCGCCGATTCAGGGGTGTCTGCAATGGATTCATTATTCATGTTTGAAGGTCTACTACTATTAGTATTATAGAAACCTCTCGGGGTGAACTGAATGTCAACAAAACAAGCCAATGACCTCATGCCACCATCCCCTGCTGTCGGTTGACTTCAACATGCGAATCCAACTCCGCGAAACACAATTCTCATCGAGCTGTGGTATCATCGCTACAAATGCTATCACGAACGAAAAAACTTCCATCGCTCTAGCCGCCCTTGAATCCTACACAAAATGGGATATGCCGCACTCTGACATTGAAAGACTGGCCAAGACAGGCACACCAGAGTGGCCGGGCCCTTCTTCTCAACCAAAAACAACGCTTGCTGTCGAGATTCAAAGTCCATCCGCCTAGAATGCATCTTCGAATGGACAATCGACGCTTTCGTGTCCATCTCTCTCACACAGGGCACACCACTTGGAGACGTCGACAATTCCGCTCTCCTTTCCAGCCACAGGGCCGGAATCCATCGGGTTTGGGAAGATCTTGACGGTCGGCGGAGGAGCAAGCGGCTTGGACTTTATTGGCGATAAAGGAGCCGGCTTGTCTTCGGCGGGGATGGGCTTCAGGTCCTCCTTAATGGCTTTGCCAGCATCGCCGTTGGTCTTGCCACCCTCGTTGCCAAACATGTTGGTGCAAGTAAGGATGTCGTGTCCGCCAGTCTCGCAAATTTCGCACCAGAGAGTACTATTGTCCGTGACTGACGAGTAGGCGTCACTTTCGGGCATCGTGTCCAGTGTACGAACACGCTTGTGCGTCGTCGTGGGAGACTGGGGCTCGCTGTTGCGCATCAAGATAACGGTATCTCGGGAATCGCGCAATGAAGAACGCTGCGCACCGCCGTTGGCCAGAGGTCCGGTGAGCTGAGTCGTGACGCTTCCCCTACGAAGTCTCTCCACTTCCCGCTCAAGCTCCTCCTCACGACGGCTCTTGTCTTTCACGACATCATTGAGCTCTGCCAACTCGAGCTCCAACCTTTCACGAGCCATTGCGTTCTCGCGTACGGAGGGGTCTTCAGCTTTGTCGGCCCCAGGAACAGAATCGCGACTGAGAGAGTGGATAATCGCCTTAAGACCCCGAATCTCATCTTCCTTCTGCTCCAATTCCTTGGAAACGGAGCCACGATCTCCGTTGCTTGAACCTGTGGTGCCGTTCATTCCGGCTGACGCCTTTTCGCGCTCCCTGCGCAGCTCGGTTCGTGTGCGCTCGACTTCACCGCGGAGGAATTCGACCTCCCCTCTTGCTTCCGCTTCACCGCGTCGTGCATCCTCGAGACCCTCTTCGAGCTCTTGAACCAACTCCTCGAGCTGCTTCAACTGACGAGCAACCGAATCTACGTCATCCGTCCGCGATTCGAGCTCACGCATTTCCATCATCAACTCATCGATGCGCTTTTCGTACACTCGTTCGGTTTCGGAACTAGCCATTTCGAGGGTGTCGATGGTGCTTCGGAAGTCGGCTCGGTGTGCGTCGAACTCGGCAGTGAGCATCGCAATCTTCTCATTCTTTTCTCTGACCAGTGCGCGAAGTTGCATCGAGTCCTTATCGTCGAGACTGTTGCGCTTGGGTGCTGACAGATCCGAACTCTCCATAAGAGTCTGAAGCTCGGTCAAACTGCTCTCCATCTCCGCCAATGTAGATGCTTGATCCCTCAACTGCCTTTCACGGTCGTCCAGTTGTGCCCTGAGTCGGTCGACCTCGTCGTCGTTCTGAGCTCGTGACGCGGCCCTTGAGCCGGCCCCAGCCCGCGACGGTACTCTGAACTTGGAGCTGTAGGAAGATACCGAATTGGTGCTTCCATTGGTCTGTGTTCGCTGCAGAGTGGCTGGTGGCTGGGGCATCGGCTCCTCGTCAAACATTGACGTTTGGCCAAGGGCAGAGGCACTGCGCGGACCAACACTTGGCTTCCTATCCAATCGTGAACCTTTGCTCGGGTCTCCAGCCGTTCCGCGAACGCTCTGCGCGAAGCGATTCGGGGCAGGAGAACTGTATTTGGAAGGCACCTTTCCGGGCGTCGCCAGTGATGGTCTTGGTCCTGGGGTCATCTGTAATTTTCGTACAGGTGACTCTGGGCGTACAGAGGGCCTGCTCATCGACTTCTTCAGCTGAGGACTGACTGATCGGCCGGGGGCAATGCCAGGGCCAACAGATTTGCTGAATAGCGGCACCGACGGCGTCGGAGGTGTGTTCGTGGAGTTCTGCGTGCCGACCTTGAGACCGCCCATGGTGCTGGCAGTGGGAGTGTGAGGAAACGAGCTGGAAGACGAGCCAGGAGGAGAGTCTCGTCTCACGGCTTTGTTGAGAGGGAGAAAGATGCCTGCGCCAGGAAGAGTCGTAGTAAAGTAGGAAACACTAGATGCAGTCAGGTGGGAATGTCATTGACAGAATGGTTGGGCGCAAACTTACCCTTCCACTTCGCCCGAGTTCTTGCCCCGCTGAGAGAACTCGGGATGTAGCTCGACACCAGCAAAAGTGCCCTTCTTCCCATCCACCGAACCAATAAAACGGACGGTGCCCAACATGTTGCCCGGGACTTCAACGACATCGCCGAGAACGAAGTCGGTTCCGGCCCTACCGGGCGTGGCGGGTGGCATTTTGCGATCGGGCGACTCGGCTAGCACGCTGTTGTAGGCATAGGACTCGCTTACATCGGGGATTGAGGCGAGAGACTTGGGAGTAAGAGCAGCCAAGGAGGATTTGCGCGGAAGCGATTGATGCGAGGGCGTAAGTCGCGAATGTGTGTTGTAGAGGGAATTAAGACTGGGAGAGGAAGCGGTTGTGGAGGAGGCGAAGTTGCTAGTGAAGCTGGTAGCTTTGCGAAGAGTTCGCGGCGGGTGGGCAAGACTTCTATGGGTCGGCGCGTATGCGGCGGTCGCTGTTGTTGTGGCGACCGACATGATGGACAGTCAGGTTGGGTCGATTTGGGTGTTTAAGGCCAGACAGATCCAGAAAATTATTGGGCGCGGGTGCTCGCGTACAGGGTGCCGGCCAGTAATGCGACCGCTAGATTGCGCGCCGGATGGCAGCTTTACTGGCCTTGGCTCACTATTAGGCGGCGCAGGTAAGACCAGGTTCCAGGTTGTGGTGGTGTTGATTCCCGAACGCCCCACTCGTCGCCCGCAAGGTAAGGTATCTTAGGGCCAAGGTCAACTAAGGTTGCTTGCCTTAGTCGCAATTGCAGCCGAGCAGCGAATGAGAGGCGCGAAGCAGACCGTGTTGGGCAACAGAACGGGAGGGTTGATTCGTAAATATCTTACAGCCTTGGGTGGGAAAAGCAAGCGCAAAGACGTGGCGGACAGGACAAATTTCGGTCGATTGGGCGGTAGGCGGGAAACTGACAGATAGACAGGCGGACGCTATACCGAAAGAGCGCTAAGAGCTAAAGAACCGTGAGGTGTGATCGTCTCGGGGCCTTGGGCGTGTCTTTGACGTGGAGAATGATTTGTCTCTAATAGTCGTTGCGAGTTCGTCTTTCAATGAGCCTGACAGATCATCTGGCAGCTCCGAACAACTTGACCAGCGCCGACTGATACCGAGGGTTACGTATGAGTCGCAGGGAGAGCGAAAGAGAGAGAGAGAGAGGCCCGGGCAAAGATACCAGGGCAGTCGGCAACGACGGCGACGATGAGAAGATGAAGGACAAAAGAAGCCCGACGCAAGCAAAAGAGTAAAAGTGGTCGCCAGACGAGGGGCTTTTTGTGACGCTCTGAGCCTCCTTTCCCCTTGTGAGCCCTTGTGAAAGAGCACGGTCGTCCTGACTCCTTTGAATGGGGTCTCAGACGTTGACCACTTTTTGGTTCAGCTCTTTGGGTAAGGATCCGTAGACCAACGCGATGCAGGGGTGATGGATGTCAAGGGGAGCGGGAAATGGGTTGGTGATCCGTCAGTTGGAGTAGCGTTACCCTTGCGGTGGGATCAGGTACCGTGACGGAGGTGTGTGTGGTCGTTGGAAGGTGGTATTCTTTGGGCGAATACTCAATAATACTCTGTAATTGAGATGAGGACTGAAGAGAGGTAGGAGCCGCAAATTCGCGAATGAGGTGGGATGGCGGGATGGTGGGATGGTGGGATGCAAAGAATGACAAGAGCAAGACACATACGCCGTGGCACACGGGCTGAGAAGAAAAAGGCGAGACAGACGGAAGACTGGAAGATGAATGATTGGGAAGGAGAGAGCTATATCTGAGTTGGGACGAGACAAAACGAGCAAGACTCAAGTGCGTCTGCGTCTGCGTCTGCGTCTGCGTCTGCGTCTGCGTCTGCGTCTGCGTTGGTCTTGTTGGTTTTGGTCTCGTCAGGTCAGGCACATTCCACAACTGTCTCTTTGTATCGCGGAGCAACAGCTCAGCTACTTGTTTACGTGGATCCCGATTCAGTCCTTCACTGGACTGGACAGGCAGCTTCGTCCACGGATACCTCTACCAGGTCTTGAAGCTTCATGAGGTGACGAGGTACCTAAAGGTAGGTAGGGGGTTGAGGAGATGCTCGTCTGCAATTGGGCCGTCAGCCTGCGTCGCTCCTTCATCTTCCCCATCACACATCGTAGCGCGGCCGCAGATCTCACAAAAAAAGACCCTGGAACGTCGAGAAGGCACAGAAGGAGGCTCGTCAGTGGCCCCGGCTGCTCCCCATTCCCCTCGCGGTTGCCATGACGCTGTCGTAGCTTTGCATCGTCTGGACCGGTGGCTGCTTAACGCTGCATGCAGACAGCGGAGGTGTATGTATGTACAAGTAGACGCCCAGCCCAGCCCGGCAGGGGCAGTTTGACCGCCTACATGCACCTCAACGTGTTCGTCGTCTGAGCCTCTGAGGAGTACAGAACCTGTCTCTCCCTCACGCCGCCGTTGCTCGTTGCCATGCAGCGGGTGGTTCACCAGCAAAGCTACTCACACTATGGGTGGGAAAATCTGCCTCCTCTCATCTTGATGGTGTGCTTCATCAAAAATTTTGCAGTCACACATGGGCCCTATCATCTTTGGAAAGCAATTACTATCCAATGTATCAATGCAACTTACACTGTGACTGGCGTAGCATCACAGTAATTATTGCGAGCAACCACTCACAGTCCAATATCGCCGGGCAATCTTAACTTTGGCTCGATGCACCAGTTCGTTCCGTCTGCGCCTCCCAAATTTAGACAGACACCGGTCGAATTCTGATGGATTTGGAGGGTCACATACCACAACAAATGTTACCTCATCAGATCCCCTCATCCCGGTAGTCCGCCCATGAAGGCCAATTCATCCTCAACGATCGAACCGACTCCAAGAAAGCCAGGGAATGAGTCGTGTCGTTACTGTCGTGGTACCGAGCATTGCGGCATTGCTACTGTCCTCGCCTCTCAAAAGAGAAAGACGCTCCAGATTATCCGTTGAAAAGAGGATGGATCCCCCCTGCAGCCCGTCACGCGGCTGCATGATGCGAATCAGCACCAGTTAGGAAAGGACAGCGTCGCATCAGATCCGCCAAACGGCGCTGCTGACTAGGTACGGAATAGGTACAGAGTACGGAGCACAAGAAGTTGAGAGAGCCCGCATTCCGGCTCGTCGCCGTGCTGCTCGTATCAAACCCCTGCATCAAGCTCAAGTAAACAATACTGATCCGAGTCAGAACGGCGCAAGTCATGTTCAGCTTGTCCGTAACCCAATGCATATTCCTATTCGATATAATTCCACGGAGAGCACTCTACGGACAATCACTCCACATGCTTTCAAGACCCGATGAACCGGATGAGCCGTGCTGGGACCGCCTGGTCGGTCGAGAAATGGGTACCCGACAACTTACAATACAAGCCAAAGATGAAAGACGGGTCCCGGGGTCTAGTGTCAAAGCTTCTGGGAGCAAGCCTCCGAATCGGGTGCGGATAGCTGGGCTTGACCAGTGTCACAGGGTGCCACCGGTTCAGTGCGTTTACGCGGTAATCTCTTAAAGCTCGACGCCGGAGCCTGGCAGTTCCTCAGGGCCCAAGGGCATCCATCATCGGATGAAAAATACCTGGGTTCGCGAATCTATCACCTTGAACCCCCGGGACATCGTGCACGACAGACGGCGGGGTAAAAACGGCAGTCCATGTACTAACCTGAGAAGCAATTCGATCCTCTTCTTCGTGTCTCGTCATAACTCTATCTATCGCTGGTGTTCTGCTGCTAAGCTTGCTGCACCCATGCAGGCTTGTTGCTCGCGGAAGAAGCCCGCCCCCTTTAATTCTCTGGTCGAGTCTCCCATCTCCCGTGTCAATTAGACGCGAATGCTGTACTCCCGGCTCCGCACAAATGCCGCGTCTTGACGCGTGCCTTTAGTCCAACTCATGTTATACGATATGAGGCTACCCTACCCCTACACAATATCGATGGCTTAAGAGTGTCCCTGGCTATCCATCCTCTCGCTGGTCTGTGCTGAGTCGGAGTTCCTCCAAAGGAAACCTGGAGGCACGTCGCCTGTCACTCGTTGCGATGTTGATGCTGTCTCCGAATCTATACTTGAGCGTACATTGTGTATCCCTGTCGGCCACTTTCGCGATCCTGCCCGTACTGCTGGGAGTTTTCTTTTCTTTTCTTTTCTGCTGGAACCATGCTTGGTGTTTAGCTTGGCGAATCGTGGCTTCTCTCGATTATGTCCTCCCTTCCTATCGGTCTGGTACCGTCGTTGAACACCATTGCCTCCCGGTGCTGCCGCCTAAGACGCTGTTCTTCGGCCGAGTGCTCTCGTGTTCGAGGGACTTGCTCGACTGCTTGCAGCGCTTCCGCGTCGTCATCAACGTCTGCATTGCACAATGTGGACTGCAAGGCAATGGTGAATCCGGCCAAGTTGGTGTCCGGGTTGAGGTCGAAACTCGTCTTGGCGGCGAGGTTGCAGGCGAGGATCGCCTTTGCGCCTTGGGTAGTGTGTGCGATCCTCGTGACAATGTCGACGATGCGGTTATTCTTGTGCTCCATGTAGTAAATGAAGTTTTCTTGCCTTTCGGCTTCGGTGTCTCCCCAATGCTGTTTGGCCAACCACTTTTCCACGAATTTGGCCTTGACCAACATGTCGGCACCGTACTTGGTGATGAGCTCGAGTACGAACATGAGGCAGAACCTCTCAGCCATATCGCGAAGGTAGTATTCGTCCCAGTATTTGTCGTCGAGTTTTGTTTGCTCCGTATCGTCGAGACTCAGTTCAAGGGATCTGACAAGGGCAGAGTACGCTCTCCATGTGTGCAACTTCGACAGGCCCTCTGCGAAGTCTAAAAGTCAGTCAGCTCGTCCGTCTTGTAAGAAACGTTCCCTTGCCTACCATTAGTCTGCCCAGTAAGCGTTGCCAGGGCACGAAGGTTCTTCATACGAGTATCGTAATCCGGTCGCGTAATGCCGTAGAGGAGCTGTCGCACCGTACCGCTGTCATTTACAGCACGATCGCAAAGTATTTTGATGGCAACATCTCGAATGGAGAAGTTGGGGTGGCATAGCAGCTTGTCGAGAGTATCAAGGCCAAGCGCGTCTTCGGTTTCTTGAGTGATGTACTGCGTCTTTGGCGGAGTGACTTTTACTTCGTTGTCGTCGCGAATGTACGTCAGCATCTGGGTCATCATAGTGACCAGGCCAAACGTAGCGGCGCCAATGCCAACAAGGATGATGCGCTCATCGCGGATAAATGACATGAAAGTCATGTTTTTTGATACTGAAGAACAACCCTATGGAGCATGGTCGCCGATCAACTCATAAGCATTGAGCTTTCGCATGTGGGAAATTCAAGGCACACAGCTGTACGAAGTATGTAGCTTGGAACGATGGATGCTCGGAGCTCAAGCCAAAGCATCCATGCATGAGTTCTGCCTTGCGCCACCGCCTAGTCAATCCCCACCATCCCGATAAGATAAGCCAACCGTCCCGCTCAAAAAATTTAGGCAAGTGCGAGGACCGATTTGCTTTTTGATGGAGTTTGCTCGTACCTCAGCGACAACAACGCCGAGTATCATCTACGCCCGACAAAATGGCCGGCTCGCAACTCAAGCGGCTGAAAGCCTCACTGAGGGAGCAGGGAATCACTGGCCCTCAAAAGTCTAAGAAGCAGAAACGCCAATTCGCGCAGGACGAAAAGGCCAAGACTGACAAGCGTCTGCAAAGAGGTGCTGCTCTGGGACAAATCAGAGAACAATTCAACCCCTTTGACCTGAAGCACAACCCACGAGGACCCAAATTCGACGTTACAACCAACAGGCCTCAGACTGGAGCCGCAGCGAGAGGAGTCAATGGCCGTCCTACTGAGGCCAAGTCTCTGGGCGAGCAGAGGGTAAGACTACACTGCCGCTCCTACGCAGCACTATGCGATGCTAATTCATATGATAGCGCCGAGAGACACTTCTCGTCGAGATGCAGAAGCGCAACAAAGTTGGCGGTATTCTTGATCGTCGATTCGGTGAAAACGACCCCTCCTTAGCTGAGGAAGACAAAATGCTCGAACGTTTCGCCCGCGAAAAGCAGAGGTCACACAAGAAGACATCGCTATTCGATCTCGAGGAAGCCGAACCACTGGGCGAATTGACACACATGGGTCAGGCTCTCAACTTTGAGCACCATCCGGATATGGCCGACGATTTCGATGAGGACGACCTTGGCTCAGATGACGATAGCGACTCCTCCCTTTCCGCGAAGAAAAAGCTCAAGCGGCTGCGCGAAGCTGGTTTTGGTGAAGACGAGGAGGGAGCGGACGACGAACCGGACAGGAAAAAGTCCAAGAAGGAGGTTATGGAAGAAGTCATTGCGAAATCGAAGATGCATAAGTACGAGCGACAGATTGCCAAGGACGAGGATGAGGACCTGCGGATGCAGTTGGACAAGGAGCTGCCAAACCTCCACGCTCTCCTCATGGCCCATGGAAAATCGGATGCGCAGAAGAAGGACGAGGGTGGTAAGTTGATTGCTGGAGTTGACAAGGCAACTTTCGATAAGGAATTCGATTTGCGCCTGAAGAAGCTCGTTCAGGACCGCCGTGCAGCCCCCACAGAGCGCACAAAGACCGACGAGGAATTGGTGGAGGAGGAATCCAAGAGGCTGAAGGAGCTCGAAGAGAAGCGCTTGAAGAGAATGAACGGCGAAGCCGTCTCTTCCGACGAAGAAAGCGAGGAGGATGAAGAGATGGAGGATCAACCTGCCGAAGATCCTGCTTTCCAGTGGCTTCCTGAGGAGGAGGAAGAGGATTTCGGTCTTGGAAAGGGCATCAAGGCCAAGACCCGCCCGACGGCGACAGAGCTCGGTTTTGACGATGAAGACGACTTCCTCATTGAGGACGATCTGATTGCCAGCGGTTCGGACCTGGAGCCCATCGAGAGCGAAGAGGAAGAATCGGAGGAAGAGGAGGAATATCAAGGCGACGATTCCGAAGACGAAGAATTCACCAAAGGTCTGCTCAACGAGGAGGAAGCGAAGAGTTCTGTGTTTGCGAACGCTGGTGGACAAGGAGGCGCGGGACTCGACAGCTCTGAGCTGCCTTACACTTTCCCATGTCCGCAGAGCTACGATGAACTCTCGGCGCTGGCACAGAAGTACCCTAGCGATAAGCTGCCTACCATCGTGCAGCGTATCCGAGCTTTGTACCATCCGAAGCTGAACAGCACGAACAAGGAGAAGCTCGGCAAGTTTGCTCAGGCGCTTGTGGACATGATTGGTCACGGCCCACGGACCGACAGCAGCCCATCGTTCCAAGTGCTGGAGAGTTTGGTACGACACATCCACTCCCTCGCCAAGATGTTCCCCGTCGACATTGCCAACCAGTATCGTTCCCATCTTGAGGAGATCAGCCAACAACGCCCTCTCGCAGTGCATGTTGGTGACCTGACACTGCTGACTGCCATCGGATCGACATTTCCTACATCAGATCACTTCCACCAGGTCGCAACTCCTGCTATGCTTACCATCGGGCGCTACCTTGGTGGTAAGATACCTCAAACACTGAGCGACTATGCCACTGGTATTTACCTTTCGACCCTGGCAGTCCAGTATCAGCAGTTCTCGAAGCGCTACGTTCCAGAGGTTATGAGTTTCTCTCTCAACACCCTGTGTGCTTTGGCTCCCTCAGCAGTCTCGAAGGTTTCGGGCAACTTCCCTCTTCATGAGCCTGCAGCGGGTATTCGCGTCGCAAACGCCCGGAAGACGGAGGTCCGACAGCTCTCGCCGGCTGACTGTGCCAAGTCAGAGGTGAACGGTGCGGAAGCTGAGTCCAAGAAGATTGCCCTGTTGTTCACAACACTTCAGCTTTTGGGTGCTGCTGCAGACACCTGGACTGGAAAGCCTGCTTTCAATGAGACTTTCCAGCCAGCACTTGACATTGTGGCTCACCTGAGCACCAAGTCAAGCCGCTCGAAGTTCCCTGAGGTCTTTGGTGGACACCTTGCCAAGTCCCAGCTCAAGATGGAGCGCATGCTCAAGATTGCCCAGCTCTCAAAACGGCCACTTGAGCTGCACCACCACCGCCCGCTTGCCATCAAGACGTTCATCCCCAAGTTCGAGGACTCGTACGACCCGAACAAGCACTACGACCCGGATCGCGAGCGTGCGGAGATGGCCAAGTTGAAGAAGGAGCACAAGAAGGAACGCAAGGGTGCCATGAGAGAACTGAGGAAGGATGCCCAGTTCATGGCCCGCGAGAACCTGCGTGCGAAGAAGGCCAAGGACGAGGCGTACGAGAAGAAGTACAAGAGGCTCGTGGCGGAGATCCAGAACGAGGAGGGCAGGGAGGCAAATGCGTACGAGAGGGAGAAGGACGGCAGAAAGAGGGCCAGGAACCGGTAGACGGCTTGCGCTTCAGTCTTTTGTGTTACGGTATGAAAAAGTTACTGGGTGCTTTTCGGCATAGTTTATTCCCTTTTTTTTGTATTCAATACCAGTAGAGGTACTCCGTAGAGGGGTGGAGAGCTCAGTCATGGCTTCATATACATGATTAGGCAAAGGGCCATCAATCAAAATCCCATACCCAAACGAACCAATCCGAAGACGGAGTGCCATTATAAAGCCCGGAAACACCAGCGTTCATGGTTCTGTTGGACGGATGTGTGAGGTGATTCGAAGTCGTCCATATGGAGTGCATTTGTACAGTGTAACTAGCTATATTCCCACCATCCTTTGACTGCCTGGCCTGCCAGCTGACGTCGGTCCCACTCCAAAGTACCCCAGAACGTGTATCAACAAGCTCTTTCGACATCCCTCAGCTTTAACATTGCGACGAAGGCGAACTACCACCATTATCACAGACGTTCGTCTAAGAGGCCGCCCCATTATAACGACTCAAGATTTCTCCAGCTTTTCGTCAGCCGTGAATTCCCCAGCTCATAAGATCTGGATTCAACATACCAACACTGCGCCTCATAACACTGAAGAACCACCTACCCAGTCCACGCTTACACGGCCTCACTCACACTGTTAAACAAACCCAATACCCAAGAACGCGAAAGCCTTGCGTGCAAGAATCAATCCCACACCTATACAAAACTTTTAGGTGGACGGACCTCAGGGCAGATCCGCCACCATCCAGCAAGCCATGGCAGCCTCCGACGATGAAGACGACTACATGAACATGACCTTTGACGAACCAGCCGCATCTGCCAAAGCAAAATCTCAACCAGAAACCTCATTGCAGCGCCGTCAGCGCCTCAAACGCGAAGGCGAGATCCGCGGCCGGCCCAAGTCCAAAGAGGAGCTCGCGGCCGAGGAGGAAGCGGCGCGCGAAAAGGCGCTCTCGCGGTCCCTCCTCGAGACGGCGGCCGCCAAGAAGAGCAAGGGGTTCGCGATGATGGCCAAGATGGGCTTCAAGGCGGGCAGCGCGCTGGGTGCAGGTGCCGGGGCGACAGGCGGCTCTGGTGCCGGCAACGATGCCAGGACGGAGCCGATTGCCGTCGAGGTTAAGGCGGACCGGGGCGGTATCGGGATGGAGAGCGAGAGGAAGCGCAAGTTGAGGGAGGCGGCGGAGAGGATCGAGGAGGAGGTGAGGGAGGGGAAGAGGGTAAGGGTCGATCCGTTGGAGTATCGGGACCGGGTGAGGATGGAGAGGGAGGCGGCGAGGGTGCAGGCGCAGGTGTTTGCGGCGCAGCGGGTTTCGGAGAGGATGGCGGAAGAGAAGGAGAGCGAGGAGGCTGAGGTACTGGGCGTCGACGGGAAAGCAGACGACGCGGGCACTGGCGACGATGACGACAAGAAGGAGAACACGAAGAAGAAACGAGCGTCTGGCGCGACGTCGAGACCGCTCAAGTCGATCAACGTCCTCTGGAGGGGTCTCGCCCGCCACCGCGAGGAAAAGGAGCGGGACCGCAGGATGAGGTATGATCTGGAGCAGAGCCTGTCGCGGCTGCCGACGTACGAGGACGACGATGAGGACGCCGACGACCGCACGGCGCTGGGCAAGAAGCAGGTTGTCTACGTCACCGCGGAGGACCTGGACGAGGAGGATCCCGAGCTTGACGAGTTCAACGGGCTGGAAGACGCCGAGAAGCTGCGGCGCCTGGTGGAGTATCTGAGGAGGGAGCATCGGTACTGTTTTTGGTGCAAGTACACGTATCCGGACGATGAATTGGAGGGATGTCCTGGTGTCACGGAAGAAGATCACGACTAAGTGGGAATAGAATTCTGCCTGCATGGTATCATAGTATTGAGTGTCATTATAGTGTACAATATCTACATCTTGATATTACAGAGAGGACTTGTGGCATCTAGCCCCTGCCTTTGCGTGCCAATATATCGTACACGCCCATCTCCTTGGCCACCATCGACACCTGGCCCTTGGCCAGCTCACCAGCTTCTTGCATGTACGCCGTCTGCAAGTAAGACGAGTACTCCTCGCCACGCTGCTTGAGCGACATCTCGTCAAGAGTCAGAGATCCTCCGATGGACTTCTGTCGGGTTTCGACATGTGAGTCAATCTTGCGCTTAATGAGACGAAGCTTCTGTCGCGCCTGCGTTGTCTCCCAGGCAAGACTTGTAGTCTCCATCATCATCTCGAGGGCCAACACCTCGGGCGGAGTGAAGTCGAAGACAGCCTTAAAAGCTTGGAGGGCAACGACGATGCCGATTTTGTCCTTTAGTCGGCGGAATGTGTGGAGGATTTTCCTCGCGATTTGCCCGTCGAGGCCGTCTGGTTTGAACACGGACGCGAAGCGAACCATTTCTGCAAAAGTCTCGCGTGTAATTCTAGTTTCGTTGACAAGCTCATCGCCTGCAATGTTATGCAGACGGTTGGCGCCAAGCATCTTCCACAATGCCATGAACGTGTAGGGATCAGGTTTGACCTGACGGTCATACACGAGAGTCTGGTACAGCTGGCGTGCCTCAGAGATGTTGCCGTTCTGTGAGTGGGACTCCAGCAACTGATTCATCATGAAGGCGTCCGGGCTGATTTCTGCTTCTCTGAAGGCGTCCCATAACTTCGCTAATTCGCCATGAAGGCTTCGAAGGCGATAATTCTCCGCAAGTAGAGAAAACGTTTCGAGCGTGGCCTTGGGCATGGCAGCTGTATGAGATTTCACAGACACTTCGACTGTACGAACAGGCCCTTCCATGGTTGAAAGTCGACGACGATTCTCGACAAACTCCACGCGAGCATGGATCATTTGCCATGCCAACTTGTCCGCCTTTTCCAGATTGTCGGCGCCACCTGACCTTTGCCAGGCACCGATAAGCCCATTCACCTGAATGCTGGCCGCTTCAATGCCCTTGAAGCGCATAAATTCAAAGACGCTATGCGCTCCATCGAGGTCTCCAGCACCGATAAGCCGTTTCAGCCATTTTCCAAAGAAGAATTTGTTGCCGATTTGAGAAGGCAATCGGTCTCGTCCACTCAGCTCGACCGTACTAGAGCTCATCATATCGACGAAGGCTTGCAGAGCGTATTCCGTTTGTCCAGTTGTCAGGAAGAAAGAGATCACCTGGTCGTAGTCCTCGAGCCCCATTGAAGAGCCAAGAAGGTCCCTCATTCGACGGTATGCGTCCCAGGCCTTTATCCTTGGCTCCGCGTTCGGATTTGTTGCACAGCTCCTAATGTACGGCAATAGAATGCGTGGATCGAGTTGGCGCTCGAGCAGCTTGTTCACCGCGCGTTCTCCCTGCATAAGATCACCTTGTTGGCAGAACATGCGCACTCCAAGCTCCCAAAACTCCTTGAAGGTATCTGCGCCACTGTCGCCGAGAGTGGACATACATCGCTTCCAGTTATCTATGGCTTTGGCCTCCCATCCGTCCACAAACATGGCTTCGACTGTGACAAGCTGTTGCGAAGGGCTCAGAGCAACCTTCGCCTCGCTCATGTCTCTTGCTAGCAGCGAAAGGTACGTGAGACGGCTTGGGTTCTTCGCGTCATCGAGAGACAGAATATCCCACAAAAGGTTCCAAACGTCTTGAGGAACATGCGCCCAAGCCTTGGCTAGAGATTGCCTCGCCGCGCCGTACGTCTTCCAGACCGTCTGGGTAGTCTTTGCCGTAACATCTTCACCTCGTCGCATCTCTTTAGTCGTTCGGGAGAGGAGCGTATTCAATCGTACTATCCGTTTTCGCTGGTTGAAGCTCCACACTTTCTCGGGGATCTGCGGAATCGGGGGTTGCTTCTTTCGTTGAGAGGGGTCCACGCGAGCAGTCGCCTGTATGACGCCCAGTGTTGCCGCGTGGTTCTTGTAATCGAATTGATTGACATCGAATCCTCTTGCCTCGAATTGGCTTTCTAAGTCTTTGATATATGCGTTCAAGCTCTCCAATGTGTCTTCGGGGTTCCTGGCGTCCCCGAGCTTGTCTTCGAAATCTTTCGCAATCGAGTCGACATCGTTGATTCCCAAAGCACCCAAGCCGCCCTCATTCTGAAAACGAGAGAGCGTGCGCCGCATATCAGCTGCAAAAGTCTGGTTCAGCTGCTTCTTCAGATCGTCTACGCCACCCATGGATTCTCTGAAAGCATCCTCGTCCCCCAGCCGCTCAATCTGGCCGGATTCATCCTTTTCGAAGAACTTTATAATAGGCTCGTCGGTCCTTTTTTGCATCAGTTCCTTGAGAAGGTCGGCAGCTGCTCGGCTCGGATCGGCATCGGTTTGGGTGGATGGCGTCGGAGAAGATTTGCGCTGTGTGTTCTGAGCACCTGGTCGAGGCTTGACTCCTAGTTGAGCAATACGGGAGCTATGTCGAATTGCCCATGGCGGCGGGGCAGAAGAACCCAAAGTTGACTGGCATGACTGGCAAATGAATGTGTTTCGACATGCTATGTCACGAAAAAAAGTTCTATGAGACATAAGGAGAGGCGAAGTTGGTCAACATAGAGGAGAAAGCGAAGAAAATGGGCGCTTCAAGCAGAGAGGAAGCTCATGGCAGGTAGAGAAATGGGTCAGATTTTTTGATGGACCCCGAACCTAGGTGCACCTGCATCTGCGCGTCGCGAATCATTAAGAGCTTATCTTATCAGAGACATCCAAAATTCCGTTACCGCCTACCACTTGGGACAGATTCAGCGGCCACATCCCGGCAGAAAAAGATAATTTTCTAGATCCCACCTTCGTCTACTCTTTTTTTTCCGGCCGAGGATATCACCAGCACCCAGACGACCCACGGCAAAATGGCGTCCGCTCCCGAGTACCTGCGGTTCACAGGACACAGGTCCTTTGCGCAGCGACTAATCATATCAACTCTGACTGGTCGGCCAGTTCACATTTCCAAAATTCGCAGCTCGTCGCCGACACACCCCGGTCTTGCGCCCCACGAGATTTCATTCCTCCGACTACTGGAAGCCGTCACCAATGGTAGCTCTATGCAGATTTCGTACACCGGTACGACTATCACGTACCACCCCGGTCTGATCACTGGAACGATGGCTGGCTTTGGCGCATCCGACGGCGACGTCATCGAGCACAACCTCCCCGCGAACAACAACCGCGGCGTCACCTACTTCCTCCTCCCAATCTGCCTCCTCGCGCCATTCTCGAAGGCGCACGTCAACATCCGATTCACTGGCCCGGGTGTCATCACATCTGCGACTGAGACCGGCGACATCTCTGTCGACTCCTTCCGCACAGCCATCCTACCACTCTTTGGGCTCTTCGGTATCCCGCCTGCGCGAATTGAGCTGAGAGTGCTGTCGCGATCTTGCCCTGGAAAGAATGGCAGAGGCGGCGGTGGTGTCGTTGAGCTCCGGTTCGCAAGCCAGGTCCGACTCCCGAAAACATTGCACCTGAACCGCAATCCCGGCAAGATAAGGAGGATACGAGGAGTCGCATACTGTACGGGAGTCTCAGCGTCCAACAACAGCAGAATGATTCACTCGGCAAGAGAGGTCCTGAATGCTCTCGTTTCAGACATTCATATCGCAGCGCAGTACGACACAGCACCTCTTATCACGGCGGCCGACAAGTCAAAGACTCGAACGGGCATTGGTTTCGGTCTCAGTTTGGTGGCTGAGTCGAGCTCTGTCGGTGTTCTCTACTCGGCAGATGTAGTAGCGCCACCTGTGGGCGGCGTAGTGCCTGAAGATATTGGCAAAAACTGCGCCTATCAACTGCTGGAAACCATTGCGCAAGGTGGATGTGTCAGCAAAACATCAGCCAGCACCGTCATGACGTTGATGGCTATGGGATCTGAAGATGTAGGAAGATTGAGGATAGGAAGAGATGTCATCGGAACAGAAGAGATGGTTGGGCTCGCCAGGGACTTGCGCACATTCGGCGCGAGTAGTTGGGGTTTAAGGGACGTTGAAGACGACGAGTCGAACGATATACTTGTTTCGGTAAAGGGAAGCGGTGTTGGTAATGTTGGTCGCAAAATTGCTTAAGATACCAGAACGCGACGGCACAATTGAAGATCAATTGCCATTGGATATCATGATACCATCTAGACTACCTCTGATTCCTCTGGTTGCGTTCTAGCTGTGGTATCCTCCTCATCGCGGACAGTCTCGTCAATGTCGCGGTATAACCCAGGGTTTGAAGCGAGTGACCTGCCGCTCCCCAGTAATCAGTGGTAGCGTGTCTAATAGTGTGAGATATGTGGAACTCTCCCAAATCGCCGTTCCCTGAAGTGAAGACGTCGAATAAATGCATTCCACTGGCTGCATTCGAGGACGAGCGTCGTCTTGCGGACCTCCTTCGTGAAGGTTCCTGGCCATGTTCAGCTTCGCCGTTGGGCCTCAGAGACTGGAGCTCCACGCTGTCTGCGCCTTCCATGTCCAGTCCAGGTGCATCTCTCAAGACACCCCGCTCTTCGGCGTCGTGATCTTGGGTAGAAAGACCGATCGTCTCTTCTAGTGCCGGGGGCAAGCGGAATAACAATGGCCTTACAATAGGCCGTAGCTTCTCTCGCTCGGCATGGACAGCCAGCATGAGACATTGCACAGCCAGTATAATACAGTCGAGAGCTAGAAAGGTAAGCCTCGAGGTTGGTGGTTTCTGCCCGATGAAGTCGACGATGACACCCCCGTGAAGATAGCCACGCGCAGCTTCGCCAGCTACAGGTAGGGACGCAAAGATATGTAGCAAGACACACAGCAAGTTCGGGACAAACACCGATATAACTTGTGACCGGGCCGCCGCCATAGTCAATGGGTAGTCGTCAGGCTTGGGTGTAAGCCAGTGGTGCTGTCCATAGACGCGAACTGCAAAGCGGAAGATGGAGCACCTGAATAATTGTCAGAATATGAGATAATGAAGCACAAGAAGGAGAGAGTGGCATACTCCATGTAGTATAATGTGCATAGCTCTGCGTATACTATGGAGTCGAGATTCCGCAGTAATTGGGTCAAGAAGTCGAACTTCTTTGCCAGGCCGGGATTGATCTTTCGATGTTTCCGCCGTCGCCTTCTTCTAGAACCTCTAGCTTCTGCATCATCGGCGCGGTTTGAAGGCTCTGGATCCCCTCTGCCATCCTCCTGGTCGTTCCCGAAAGGGGTTGATCGGCCTGGCAGGGTCTCTGGCGCGGCATCATCGACCATAGCTCGTTGGCCTCATTTGTGTCGGCGGAGATTCCTGCAGCGTGGCGACAAGTGCGACGCTTCACATACTCCAGCAGGTTGGCAAATGTCGGCTAGGGAAAGCGGAGTTGGCTGTCAAGATAAAAGCATGAATGAAGATATTCCCGACCGTTGGGACCGTGATGCGAACAGATGTGGATAAAAGCCGACCGAAGCCAGCTGCAGGGATAGCCAAATGTGACGCCACAGCTTGAGGAATGGAAGGCAGGCACGCAGGCAAGCTGTCCACGACTCGACGCGGTAAGCTCAGGAGCTAGATCCACTGGCGCGGGCACCTACTGATATCGGGACAGGAGAATCTTTGATACGAGTACCCCTCCATCCATCCCGCGCAAGGGTCCACACTCCCCTCCGATTCGACATTCGCAGCGGCCAAATTTCTGCCAGGAGTTCCCGCCTAATTTACAAGTGCCCCTCTGACTCAACGAGCCGAACATCGACATCTCGACGTGCAAGCCACCTATCCAGACAACAACGCACGAAATCATGGCGACGGCAAGCAACGGTCCTTCTGGGGACCTTACATCCCAGATTCTTTTGGCTTTGTCCCAGAAGGATCCCATCCTGTCTGCCGAACACTTCCCAGAGTTCCACTTCACAGACGTCAAGGCCGCACTGGACCGCCTCGCTAGTCGTTCCATGGTCACATACGAGTCAATTGACCGGGAGGAAGCCATTCTTGAGGCCGAGGGCAAGCAAATTGCAGAGCACGGCAGTCACGAAGCTCGTGTCTTCGAGGCGGTCCGGAAAGCCTTGGAGGGGCTGACTGTTCAAGAGCTTGAGGCTGCTGTGGGAGACAAGAATGTAACGAAGGTCGGCCAAGGCAAGGCCTTCAAGGAGAAGTGGATCAAGAAAGGTGCCGACGGCAAGTTCATTGCGACTGTAAGTTTGTCCGCCCCAAATGTCACCAATACATGCTAATACCGTGTGCGCAGGCCGACTCGATTCAAGATGTTACCCAGGCTCAGCTTAAGCAGATCCTGGAGACAAAGACCCACGAGCCCAAAATCATCACCGACTTGAAGAAGCGCAAGCTCATCAAGACCCAGAAGGTCATCGCATACAAGATCCAGAAGGGACCTGAGTTCGCATTGGAAATCAAGAAGGAGGAGACGGACTTGACGGCTGACATGATTGCGTCTGGCTCATGGAAGACTGCCAACTTCAAGCCTTACAACTTCAAGGCTCTTGGATCCGACCAGAACTCTGGCGCGCTTCACCCCCTCAACAAGGTCCGCCACGAGTTCCGTCAAATCTTCTTCGAGATGGGCTTCGAGGAGATGCCGACCGACAAATTCGTCGAGTCTGGATTCTGGAACTTCGACGCCCTTTTCGTGCCCCAACAACATCCCGCGAGAGATCTCCAGGACACTTTCTACATCTCGGATCCCAAGGTTGCAGACAAGCCTGGGCCCGAGTCGGAAGACGACAAGAAGGATTACAAGACGTACTGGGACAACGTCAAGGAGGTCCACCAGGATGGCAAGTTTGGCTCAATCGGCTACCGTTACCCTTGGGCTGCGGACGAGGCTCAGAGGCTTGTTCTCCGCACACACACGACAGCCATCTCCACCGCAGTACTTCATCAGTTGGCTTCCAGAAAGGGACCGGACGGCAGACCTCCCCCGGCCCGTTACTTCTCCATCGACAGAGTCTTCCGCAACGAGAGTGTCGACGCTACGCATCTGGCTGAGTTCCACCAGGTCGAGGGTGTCATTGCGGATTACGGACTTACACTGGGAGGCTTGATGGAGTTCATGGAGATCTTCTTCAACAAGATGGGTATTACAGACATCAAATTCAAGCCCGCGTACAACCCGTACACGGAGCCGAGTATGGAGATTTTCAGCTTCCACAAGGGCTTGAACAAGCTCGTCGAAATCGGTAACAGCGGTATGTTCAGACCGGAAATGCTCGAGGCAATGGGTCTGCCCAAGGATTTGAGAGTATACGGTTGGGGTTTGAGCTTGGAGAGACCGACTATGATCAAGTACGGCATCTCCAACATTCGCGAGCTGTTGGGACACAAGGTGGATTTGAACTTCATCGAGAGAAACCCAGCAGTAAGACTTGACAAAAACTAGAGGATTCGGCATGGGAAAGTAGAAAAAGGGACACGACTTACATGAGATGAGCTTGGGCTGGCATATGTTGGCGAATGGAATACCAATCACGTTTTGAAAGGTCGTACTGTCAAGCTGTCAACTATGAGATTACCGGGGTGTGAAGACTCAGGTCTGTCCCATCGACGATGGTGAGATTCAGCTGCCCCACGGCTACTCTTCCGCAGGTGGACGATTTAAATGAGCTGTCAACGTCTAGCAAGGGTTAGCAGGTGATCCTCATGGTAGATTTTGACATCCCATATCGGTGCCATTGGTGTCATCGGCGCCAGGACCGATTTGGCCGTCTCCGAGTCGTTCAGCGGCATTTGCTCAGACTGTAGTTGAGGCATTGGCCAATGGTTGAGATGAAAAATTGACGCCTCCCCGGCACTGAGTGCCAAAGGCGGGGCAAATGCCAGATGTAGCGGGGTTGGTTAGGCCAAACGTCAGATCGCATCCCAAACGGTAAGAAGCTCGGGCCCTCACTCAGGACCAAAAGGTGCATGCAGTTCGACTCTGGCACAGGGTGTGAGACTCACTGAGCACCGTGGCACCTCAGTGAGAGCAGACACCAAACGGGATGCCGCCCGGCAGACGGCCAGGAGCGAACGAGCGAGCGAGCGAGCGCCGTGAGTCACTCCTCCAGGACGGACTCCAAAGTCGAGTAGTCCTTGCCAGATTGACTGGAGCAGCTGGAGCACGCCCGGGGAATATTGGCAAGTCCCCATGGGTCTCCAGCCGTCTCAATTGAGTCAATCATTAAGGTACCCTCCCGATATGTACTGTACATGTAGCATTATTTCCATCCCAAAGAGTTTGTTTCCGTGACTCAACAGTGCATGTTGTCCAAGCTGCTAGTACCTAATGTCTGGGCACCTTGAGCTCAGGGCTACCTACCTCCGCAGACACGCAGGAAAGAATGGAAGGTAAGGAAGGTATGCACAAAGCTCGAGTTGGCTGGGACGAACCAGTGGGCGAACCACCAGCTTCAAATACTCTCTCGCTATACGACATAGGTACCAAAGGCCAGGGAACGGTTCGGGGCATCTGACGGTTACAGACGAGAATGCGTTGCTGAGAGTTTTGACAACGCTGTAAAACCTTGTTCAGTACCTGCACTGTCAGAAATTTTCGCCAAATCCCAAGCCTCGCTCATTAGAGGTGAGGGCGGGAGACACTAGGGTGGTCCCTCAGCGAGAGAGATGGATGTGCGAGGGTGTGTACAGTCACTGCGGTGACGCAGAAAGTTGCGATAACGGCGCCCAAGTGGTCCCTGGCGCAGTAGACGGGGCAGCAGACGGGGCCTTGAGGGAAGAGACGGATGTGATACTACCCCAGTTAGCGTCCTGAGCCATTGTTGGGCCCCCCCGATCGGCCAATTCAACAACCGCTGAGAGAAAAATTTCCTTATCTTATCACAATTCGGACCGCCTTTTGTCGCTGAAGACGAAGACCGCTGCGACCATCTTCCCTCCCCACAACTCTAACAAAGCTCACGGAAGAGTCACAAACCTTCCCTCCCCGGCGGCCATAATACCTCTTCTCTCTTGGTCCAAAAACCATTCAATTGGCTCTGACCTCGAGTATTCTCTCTCTTTCCCAAGGTCTTTGTCGCATTGATCCCTTGAATCCTTCACAATGCCGTCGGCCATGTCAAGTTCTTTGGCAGGTCGAGCTCCGGCTGTCCTCCGACATGGTCGCCGAGTCCCTACTGCTCTGACCGGTCGCAACTTCACCCTCGCCGCCTCCAACGGCCTGGCCAGAGCCCAACTCCAGAACAGCAGTGCTAAGCTGCTTCAGAAGCGTCTCTTTACCGCGAGCGCACTTCGTCCCAGTGCCGCGCAATCTGCGCCGAATCCCAAGGCTTATCTTGAGAGCGGTGCGATCAAGCCCTCAGCGGGCGTCGATGTCAAGAAGGTGCTCGTCATTGGCAGTGGTGGTCTTGCCATTGGCCAGGCCGGAGAGTTTGACTACTCAGGTTCGTGTGCTTGCCAAACTCGCGCTCAACAAGTGTAGAGAATGAGTCACAGACACCAAGAAGCTTTCTGGCTAACACGACTCTTCATAAAGGATCACAAGCTCTGAAGGCTCTGAAGGAGGCCGGCGTCAAGTCCGTCCTCATTAACCCGAACATTGCCACCATCCAGACCAACCACTCGCTCGCCGATGAGGTCTACTACCTCCCCGTCACACCGGAGTACGTGACGTATGTCATCGAGAAGGAGAAGCCCGATGGCATCTTCCTGTCTTTCGGTGGCCAGACCGCCCTGAACTTGGGTGTTCAGATGCAGCGCCTGGGTCTCTTTGAGAAGTACGGAGTCAAGGTTCTCGGAACCAGCGTCAAGACCCTCGAGACCAGTGAGGATCGTGATCTCTTCGCCAAGGCCCTCGGCGAGATCGACATCCCTATCGCCAAGTCCATCGCCGTTGGCACTATCGAGGAGGCTCTCGACGCTGCCGAGAAGGTCGGATACCCTATTATTGTTCGTGCCGCCTACGCACTCGGTGGCTTGGGCTCTGGCTTCGCAAACAACGAGGAGGAGCTCCGCAACATGGCTGCCCGCTCCCTTACTCTTTCCCCCCAGATCCTGGTTGAGAAGTCTCTGAAGGGCTGGAAGGAAGTCGAGTACGAAGTTGTCCGTGACGCAAACAACAACTGCATCACTGTTTGCAACATGGAGAACTTCGACCCCTTGGGAATCCACACTGGAGACAGTATTGTCGTTGCTCCCAGTCAGACTCTGAGCGATGAGGAGTACCACATGTTGCGATCTGCCGCCATCAAGATTGTCCGTCATCTTGGCGTCGTCGGAGAGTGCAATGTTCAATACGCGCTCCAGCCCGACGGCCTTGACTACCGTGTCATTGAGGTTAACGCCCGTCTTTCTCGTTCTTCTGCTTTGGCCTCCAAGGCCACCGGATACCCTCTTGCGTACACTGCTGCCAAGATCGGCCTTGGCCACAGCCTCCCTGAGCTTCCCAATGCGGTCACCAAGACCACTACTGCCAACTTTGAGCCTTCCCTTGACTACATTGTCACCAAGATTCCCCGCTGGGATCTTTCCAAGTTCCAGCACGTCAAGCGCGATATTGGCAGTGCCATGAAGTCTGTCGGTGAGGTTATGGCTATTGGCAGAACCTTCGAAGAGTCTTTCCAGAAGGCCATCCGTCAGGTTGACCCCAAGTTTGTCGGCTTCCAGGGTGACAAGTTCGAGGATTTGGACTTCGAGCTCCAGAACCCCACTGACCGCCGCTGGCTTGCTGTTGGTCAGGCCATGCTCCACGAGAACTACTCAGTAGAGAAGGTTCACGACCTGACCAAGATTGACAAGTGGTTCTTGTACAAGTTGCAGAACCTTGTCGACTGCCAGCACGAGCTCGAGGCGGCTGGTGGTTTGGAGAACCTGAAGAAGGACCAGCTCACCAAGGCCAAGAAGCTCGGTTTCTCTGATCGCCAGATTGCCCTTGCCACTGGAAGCACTGAGGACCAGGCTCGCGCTGCTCGTCTTGCCTTCGGCATTCGCCCGTGGGTCAAGAAGATCGATACCCTCGCTGCTGAGTTCCCCGCCGACACCAACTACCTGTACACCACCTACAACGCCTCCTCCCACGACGTCACCTTTGAGGACAAGGGCACTATCGTTCTTGGTAGCGGTGTCTACCGTATCGGTAGCTCCGTTGAGTTCGATTGGTGCGCTGTGAGCGCTACCCAGGCTCTGCGCCAGATGGGCCACAAGACCGTGATGATCAAGTAAGTCTCGAAGACTCAACTACAAAATGCCAAGTGCTAACAAGCAACCAGCTTCAACCCTGAGACCTACAGCACGGATTTCGATACTGCTGACAAGCTTTACTTCGAGGAGTTGAGCTACGAACGTGTGATGGATATCTACGAGCTCGAGAGCGCTTCGGGCGTCGTGGTCTCTGTCGGTGGCCAGCTGCCCCAGAACATCGCCCTCCGCCTGCAGGAGACTGGCGGAGCCAAGGTTCTCGGCACTGACCCCAAGGACATCGACAAGGCCGAGGACAGACAGAAGTTCTCTGAGATTCTCGACAGCATCGGAATCGATCAGCCCGCTTGGAAGGAGCTTACCTCCGTCGAGGAGGCCGAGACCTTCGCTGACCAGGTCGGCTACCCTGTCCTTGTCCGTCCCTCATACGTCCTGTCTGGTGCTGCCATGACTGTCATTCGCAGTCAGGAGGACCTGAAGGAGAAGCTTGAGGCTGCGGCCAACGTCTCCCCCGACCACCCCGTCGTCATCAGCAAGTTCATTGAGGGCGCTGAGGAGATCGACGTCGATGGTGTTGCCTCTGAGGGCAAGCTGATCCTCCACGCCGTCTCCGAGCACGTTGAGCAGGCTGGTGTCCACTCTGGAGATGCTACCCTCGTCCTCCCTCCCGCGAACATTGACCAGACCACCATGGACCGTGTCAAGGACATCGCTGAGCGTGTCGCCAAGGCGTGGCGCATCACCGGTCCCTTCAACATGCAGATCATCAAGGCCGATAACCCCGAGGGCGGCGAGCCTCTGCTGAAGGTCATTGAGTGCAACCTCCGTGCCTCCCGTTCGTTCCCCTTCGTCAGCAAGGTCTTGGGCACCAACTTCATCGATGCCGCCACCAAGGCTCTCGTCGGACAGGACGTCCCCAAGCCCGTCGACCTCATGGCCGTCAAGCGCGACTACCTCGCCACCAAGGTGCCCCAGTTCTCCTGGACCCGTCTCGCCGGTGCTGACCCCTTCCTGGGCGTCGAGATGGCCTCTACCGGTGAGATCGCTTGCTTCGGCAAGGACCTCGTCGAGGCCTACTGGACCTCCCTGCAGTCGACCATGAACTTCCGCATGCCCGAGCCCGGTGAAGGTCTTCTCTTCGGCGGTGAGCTCAACAAGGACTGGCTCCCCACCGTCGTCAACTACCTCGCCCCCATGGGCTACAAGCTGTTCGCCGCCGACGACGAGGTCAAGCAGTTCATCGAGTCCAGCGCCAAGGGCAAGGTCTCTGTCGAGGTTATTGAGTTCCCCAAGGAGGACAAGCGCGCCCTCCGCGAGGTCTTCCAGAAGTACGACATCCGCGGTGTCTTCAACTTGGCTCAGGCCCGTGGCAAGACCGTCATGGACGTCGACTACGTCATGCGTCGCAACGCCGTCGACTTTGGCGTCCCTCTCTTCATGGAGCCCAAGGTAAGTTCCCTGGATCACCATGACAAAAAGTCAACTTGATATGAATCAATTTGCTAACATGCAATCAACAGACTGCCATGCTCTTTGCTCAATGCATGAGCGAGAAGCTCCCCCGCAAGGAGGGTATCCCCTCCGAAGTCCGCCCGTGGTCCAACTTCCTCGGCGGCAAGCCTTTGTAAATACCACAAACTTTATTCGTATCTTTTTTTTCCTCAAAAATTTGGAGTTTTAGGTTAGCCGGAAATGTTCTCGTTTCTACGAACAGAAAAAAGAAAGACCTCGAAATCGGCGAAGGGCGATGGTGATATCGGCAAAGGGGGTGGATTAAAAAAATAAGGAACTTTGTTTTTATTTTACCCCTTTTTCTTTACTAGTTGAAAAAAGAAAAGAACTTGTTTAAAGCAACATCTCTTCCTCTGCTTCGCTTCTGTATGTGACTTCCATGCTCTTGCTCTATTCTCATCTTGAACCTGTTTCTGGAAAACTACTATGGCAATGAGACCGACTATACGATGGCCTTTCACATCATTAAGAACTTGGAGACGGAGTGATAAAGGGTACTGCCATGATTTCAGGAATGGCTACCTTCGGATCGGAATTTTGTGACGTGTATAGCAAAGCAGACGCTGAGATCAATTGATTTGAAAACTTGAAGATGGTGACCATTGGATTAGAAGACGAGGCCGCTTCAATCGGGTTTCTTGTTTGAACCCAAGCTCCGTCCAATCCGGAGAAACTGTTGACTAAGGTACAGGTGCCTTTGATCGCTTCCACCTGCCCAAGGACCATTTGTGCCTCCCATGCCATCACATGAGTCCCTAATTCCCAAACACCAAGCCTGTCACCTTTGGCCAATCGCATGAGCATGCATTCCCAACCCTTTCCCATCTAGAGTTCTCGAGAGTATTGAGAGAGCCTTTTCCCGGGTTCCACATCATCGCTTGATGACACCCAGTTGCGTAAAGTATACGGATTCACAGAGCACATCTCACGAAATTGCTCTGCTTACCGAGGTGGGCGACGCTCGTTCAGCCTGAAGGCAGCAAATCGTTTAGCAAGGGGTTCTTCTGTGGTCCTGGATTGGCGCCCAAATGGATCATGCAATTCACTGGAAGCGGGATGGCCCTCGGACTGCCGTGGGCGCTTGGGGATTCGCTCACCGGTCGATTGCAGGATCGCCTGCAAAGTCCTCCAGCCCTCGGTAGATCGCAGCTGATAGTTATCAGCCAGGTCATGTTGCGATGCAACTCGGCATAACAGCGACTCTTCGTCCTAGAATATGTAAGTAACAAGCTTCCAGATGAGCGTGATCAACACACCTTGGAAAGAATGCCCATCTGGCGAATAAAGGTGAGTAAGTGGAAGTTGGACATTTCCAAGCCACCTTCGGCGGGTTTCTGACCGCCCGAGAACTTGAGGATCCTAGCGGCCGCAGAGTGTTCTTGACTTTCGCCCATGTACTCGCGGTTCTCGATGGGGAAACCTAGTTGGGTGAAAGTAGGCTTGGACTCATCCGGGAATCCGTGTGTCAAGGTCACGAAGAGATACTCTACGGGGAACGATGGCTTTGCGTTCTCCTGTACATTGGCACCGTACTCATTGATCCGACGGTAGAAAACTTCGGGGATGTATCTTGTCCGGCTCGTGGATCCGTCGTCTTCCTCTTCCTCTTGAACCAGCATCACGTTGGGGTCAGCTGAGGGTTCGATGATATCGGCGCGGACCATCTCCACAGCGTCGTTAGAAGCCTGGTATGATGAAATCGAGATTTCTCCTGACTCGTTGCCCGAGACAATGCAGGTGACGAAGTTGGATCCAAATTTGCCGCTGTCGCTCCACTTGGTGGGCTTTGGGTGTTGAGCCTGTAAACGTGAGATGAAGCAGATTTCCTGCGAAGCCAGGAAGTACGAATCAGCGTGTCTCTTGCAAACGACTGATCCGTCGCCTGCTCCAGCGTCCAGAAGGTCAGTGAAAATGACGCCGACCTGCTGCAGCCCACAGAGCCTTGCGACCTCGTCAACATCCTTCTGGTTTTCCCACGTATTCAACGACACTCCGTCCACTTCATCGATTTGGGGCGGCTCATAGATGGCCTCAACGACGGCCTTGATGCCGAGAGGTACAACCTCATACTCTGTGTACCGGCCGTACAAGATGCCCAATCTCTGACCTCCCGTCTTTCTCCAAGCGTCAATGAACGTGTCGATAATAGCAGGCGACGAAAATTCCACGTGGTCAACCATGCGGAATGGCTGCGGCTGCAAGGTGATGGCGCTTGGCTGGCACTTGGTGCAGATACCTTCAGGCCACTGAGGATGACCCGAAGGACAGTCGCGCTTGACTCTGAAGTATGGCTCTACAAGGGGTGGGATATAAGAGCTTCCGAGCTCAGGCTTGTTCGTGGCGGAGTTGATTTTCCGCAGATGCGAGTGGAACGACAGGTACTTGATCTTCTTCTCGTCCAGGTACTTCGCGTTGAACGGATCCAGAGGCATGCAGTAGTCACACATGCCCTTCGGTCCATGCCGGCACATCTTGTGGTCGCGGCCTCTCGGAATCTTGCCATCCTTCTTGTCTAGCCGATCGTCTAGTGGGTGCTGCCTGACAACGTCCCATGGGTTCTTGATTTTCTCGGACGGCGACGTCACGGGCGGGGGATCGATCGGCAGGTTGTCGGTCGGCAGAATGGGCTTGCCGTTGAGTCGGTTTGAAGATGCCAGAGGGTGACTTGCTTCGGCGCCGTTCGCATCACCGTTGGCTTGACCATCTTTGAGCTTGTAGTTTATGAAGATGAGATCGCCATGTCTGCGAAGAAGTTAGTATCGTACTCGGGCTCGAGGTTAGACGCTGGCTTACTTCAGTCCGATCTGCCCAACCTTGAAGGAGGCGATCTCGACCAAGTTCTTAGCATCACCACCTGTAGGTGCATTTGAAAGGGTTATGGAGTTCGGGTCGACGGTCTCTGGAAGGTTCGGAATCAACTGGAAGGGTCAGTCGGACCTCGCACAGCTTGTAGAACAGAATGCTCTCATACCAGACTGCCCAGGTGTCCAAATGTGTCGTTTGCGTCTATATTCAGACGACTTGTGCCGTCGGGCCCTCGGAGTCTCAGGAGCATCTTGGATGGCGAAAATCGGAGCTCTCGAAAGTGTGATCAATGTCGAAGAAAGGTCGGGGGGTATAAGGATTAAATAAGAAAATCTAGAGAATTGATTTCAAAGTAGAGCGCCCATGCCCTTGTATATGTCGTTTCGAAGCTGTTGCGTGAAAAAGAGACGTTGTAGCAGGGTGAGGGAGTGGAAAGAAGGCTCGAGTTTGTGGCAGCTTTTGCTTTCGCGGGATGAGATGGGTTCGTGAGAGCTCCAGTGCGTACCACTTGGCCAACCTAAAGGTGAATCGCCGCAGCTTGCAACAGCGTCATCAAAGGTGGTGCCTTATTGTGGGACCGGCAAAACGACGGAGGGGAGGGGATGCACGTTCCTCCAGCGGCCCCTGGCATAGCTTATTCACCACCCAAGCAGGGGCAGTTGGGAACGGCCTTACAGGCTTACACAGTACTAGGGTGGCTTGAGAGGCAAGGTGCGACTGGACAAGCAGCCACACTTGCCCTGCTCAAGGACCTAAGGTCTCTTTGTACCCTTGTACCTGGTCCAGGAAGCTGCCGCTTTACCAGCTGTATCCATTAAGCACCCAAAGAACCGTGGAAAAAGCAAGATGTACTTGTATTGTGGAAGATCTGAAAGTCGAATGTGTCTTTGAATTGTTCTATTTTCAGTTTGTCAATCATTTTAGTCTTCTTCTTAACAGGTACTCGGGCCATAAAATCCAAGGTGCAAGGGCTCAGGTACAGGGCGGAGTAAAGCAGCGGGACGGCCTTTGACTTTACAGTGGGCAGCCAAAAAAGTGTCCAATGCGACGGGCAAGCTGTCCTGTCACTTTGGTACAGTACTGGACACGCTTCATCAACACCAACGACAAATCGCCTGCAACCGCACATTCCTTGTCCTTCGTTCATCCTCTTTACTTTCCCACCACGATCCTTACGAGCGCACAATAAACCGCAGCCATGTTCGATGTCGACTGGATGAGCCTTGTGCTCCCTTTCGCCTACCTCACGGTTCTCGGCGGCGTCTTCATGACCTTTTCCACAATTTACAGAAAGCGCAAAGCCAGTAAGTCCTACCGACCTCTTTCGCGCAAAAAACCGCCCGCGATGCCGACGATATCCTCAAAGAACAAGTATACTAACCAAGGCTCTTCCATTGTTACAGCTCAGAGCGCCAACCTTGCTCCTTGGTTTGGCCCCCATCTGCAGCGCAACATCTACCTGTCGCTGCTGCACCTCGAATCTCCGGAAGAGGGCGCCGAGAAGGCCCCCAAGATCCCCTCCACCGTCATCAAAGCCGCCCTCCTCCGCCGCGCTGTTGAGGATATCCACCGTCTGGTCCAGATCCGTTCCGCCAAGCAGGCCTGCAGCACGTTGCTGCAGCGGGGAAGCGTCGGTGATGATCTGTGGCAGCGCTTCCAGCGCGCAGAGAAGGAGATGGAGGATGAACTGCGCGACGTCGTGATGGAGGTCAGTATACCTGCTCCAGAGCCCGGCTGAGATTGCCTACTAACGTGCTACCCAGGCCAACGCCCTTGCGCCCAACTGGGGTCAGTCCATCTTCCAGTCCGCCAACGAGATTGCCGCCAACACCATTGTGCGCAACCGCCTCGAGGAAGTCCAGAACACCGTCGAGCAGGAGAAGGCGTGGTGGGAGAAGCGCAGATCGACTATCCAGACCGAGTTATGAAGGAGCTCGACGAGTCCGAGAAGAGCTCGACCGCCCCTCCTAGTGTTGATGGCGACGCCGTTCTCGTTGACTCTACCGCCTCTACCACCAGCACACCTTCCAAGAAGAAGAAGGGCAAGAAATAAGCAATACGGCCATCATCTCTACTATACCACAAATCCACCTCCATTCACGCATCATATGTCCCGTCCACATATCAATACGCGCTCAGGCGCTCCGCACCGTCCACATTGTCATTAGATACCTCATCCCCCCGGTGTATGGGAAAAGAGCATTCAACGGCTTCACAGTTTTTAGGCGTTCAGGGTCATAGTCGGCACGTTTTGCATCATGAATTGATTGAAAGTCTCTAAAAAAAACCTTGGTTGACCCCTCTTTTGCCCAGACGTGAGTCCGTAGAGTGTCTAATTCTATGTGGAAAGCTATGCCACCAACGCCTCGAAATGTGTTGTGATATCAACGCAATGCCATGCAAGAAAGCAAGGAAACCAAAGGGCAAACCCAAACCATCAAATGACAACCTTCGTGGTCTCGAAGATCATGAGTACCACGGCATCTTCCTTCTCAAAGCCTCTTCGTCCTCGGCTAATCTCGCCTGCCGCGCCTCCTCCATGATTTGCTCCTCAGTCTTGATACGTATCCGAATGGGAGTCTCACAGCCTCTGTTGCGCAACACATGTCAGTCCATGATTATTATACTTGAGAAGACACCGCCGATGATCAAACTTACCTAAGACCAATAAACTTGCCAATCTTCCTGCGCTTCTCCTCGACGGTGAGGCCCGACTGCCAGGTGATGGGGCAGGGGTACTGTCCAGACCAGGGCGAGGGGCTGCGCTGGTGGTAAAAGCGCGCCAGGTCGTCGAGCTGGTCCTCGGTGAGCAGCCAAAAGTTGAGCAGCGTCGCGGGGAAGGCCGGGTGGATGGCGCCCGTCGACATTTGGACCAAGGGGGCCAGGGGGAGGCGCATCTGGCGCATCTTCTCCTGGAAAGCCGCGTTGCGGGCCGCTCGCCGGTTGCCGATGCCGCCGCTGGTGGTGTGGTGGTGTCTGGTTGCCATCTTTTTCTTCTGTTTTCTTTTTTTTTTCCCCCTCCTTGAGTTCTGTGGTTCCTCTCTTGCGTTCTCAGATCCCTTTTTATCCTCCTATCAAACTCTTCCGAAGTATGCGGTTCGTCTCCAGGGATTGGGATGTCTTAAGTTCGGTAGCTCTGTGTGTGCTTTCAAAAGAGTATTATGAGTATCAAGGTACCGGCAGCACGGTTCGATGGCAACGGTCAAAGAGAAAATTGATTTCGTAGTAGTGATTCAAGTGATGAGATGAGTTTTCAGCAAAGAGTAGAGTGATAGATGAAGTGTTTTGAGAAATATAAAATGAGGATCTCCGTGGGAACAGACTGTGGCGTCTTTCAGCTTTGATGCTGTCCTCTCCTCGTCTTATTTTGGGTTCCTTTGAATAAAATAGAAGAAGAGGCTCTGTGCTTTAGATCTATGCCTGCACAGACGGGAGAGGGAATTAGAAAGTAATACGTGTTTGTGTGAAAAAAAACGTTGTTGACTTCTATAGATGCTCGAGATAGGAAACTTGTGGTAATGAAATCTGAAAGAGATCGATGTTGAAGCGTCTACACATACTTGAGGATGCGGAAGACCGCCTCTCTTGTATGTTCGTGAGCAAACCGAACCCAAAGGGACGGGGCCCGGCCACTAGCCGATTGAACCCTCCCACCACACCGTTCCCCCTTTTTCCTCGACATGGCTTTCTTTGATCCGGAACAGCAACCCTGATCAGAGACAAAAACAACAAGAACAGAACCCCCCTCCCCCAAAGGAGGAAAGATGATGGATCAATGGGGCAATGGGGGGCCCACCACAAGCAGCTGGAACAGTGAAAAAAAAGACGGGAAAGAAACCGTCACAACAGAAATCCAGACCACACTTCCTCGCACGCATTACTCCACCAAAGCGACCCGACTGACTGGGACCCGAAGTCAAACGAGGAGGGGGCTGCGGCAGGGCGACTAATACGTCAGGCGAGACACGACTGCTTTGTCTGTTGACGGCCAGAGTTTGCCATCCTGGGTAAGGTCAGGCGAGGTTGTAAGCGGCGTTTACTCTCTCCTGAGAGGGCTTGGGAAGAATAAGCCCCCCTACCCAGACTGCCGGTTCTCTCTTGCTTTCTCGCTCTCTCTCGCCCTCTATTCGGACTTACAAGTCCAGGTGGTTTTGGTGTGCCGATTCTCTTTATCTGCTCGACACGCCTAAAAAACCAGTATGAGACATGGCGGAGGGCGGGGAGGAAGAGGGTCGGGTGAGTGACAGCTCGACAGGGGGTGGAGGAGCGAGACACAGCGACGGAAAGGATACAAGGTGGTGGGCTCGCGCTTCTCGTTGCGTATGAAATGTCTGAGAAATTCCAGTCCGGCCGGCCTAGAAACGAGTCGCGTGCCGGCCGCAACGAGAAGCCAGCTCCGCCCGCCCCGAATATGGAGGTTCCGAGACAAGATCCGCCCATTCCACTCCGTTTTCCCTCCTCGCCATGCTTCCTCTACCCTCCTACACATTGACTCATCCTCAATTACAATTCTTACTCTTAGCACAGTCCCTTGCCCAGCCAGAGACCGGTAAATCGGACAGCCGTGCTTTCAGCGGTTTGCGGACGGAGCTTGGATTCGTGAAGGGGGGGCTGAGCAGTCGGTTCCGTGGTGTCCCGGACGACTACTAGACAAAGAAGTTAACGTACAATGGCCTTGTTCAAGGTTTAGACAGACACAAACACGAAAAACACTGTTTTCGACCCTAAGAAAAACCAAGTCAATGACAAATTTCCTTCAAAGAGACACCCATCCCCCCCTCCAAAATAGCCTTACGACCCGTCTGTTTGATCATTCGAGAAGTGGTCTGTAGAGGTAAAGCATCAATTCTGCCTGCTGATACTGAACAAAAAACAACATCACCAAACGCCGAGTTATCTCTCCTGGACTACGCGTCTGACGTGCAACCTCACGCCACGGCCTCGTTTCACAGTCCCAGGCCGTCGTTGACAAGCCTTTCAGCTCCTAAAGCCACTTGAGCTTGGCAATGTGGTCCGTCTTCTTCCTGCTCATCTTGACAAAGCCGAGTGCTTTTAGCTCCGCCAGGCCCCGGTAAAAGGACACCAGCGCCCCCCGCTCGTCGGCGTTCCCTTCGCTCTCCGTATCGCCGGCAACCATGGCGTAGAAGGCGGCCCATAGATCTGCGACGTTGATGAGGTTACCCGTCTCCAAATACAAATGATACAGCAGCGACGTGACGGGCATCGTCGTGGAGATGCCCTCGTCGGTGCTGCAGCACGAACACGCGAGGTAGTCTTGCGGTCGCTTCAGGCTCCGCTCAAAGACATCCTGGGGTCGGGGTACGAAAACGTCGCGGTACGGTGTCTTGGAATCGTAGAGCCATGTCTCGTGCAGGAAAATCTCTGCGGCCGGTTCGCAGTGTATGACGTCTTGGAGTACTTCCGCGACACGGTCCACGATTTTGGTAAAAGCTTTATCGTCTTCGGAAAGGGCTGCCGAATCGTGGCTGAGCTGCACCTTTTGCGCAACAACGGTGGTGCGAAGGACCCGGCTGTGGCCACTGTAGGCGCTCCGCAAAGTGCTACCGTCCTCTTTCGCCCTGCCGAGAAGCTCCTTTGAGTCGCGGAGAAGGCTTTCTACAAGAGAAGGGAGGTCCCCGGCCTCGGACTCCCATCCGGTGAGACACAGCTGGGCATCTCCGCTGGCCACGGCGTCTTGAACACGTTGCAGCATCGAGACAAAGTCATCCGGTTGCATCCGCTTGATGCTTTCAACAATGTCCCAGCCATCGGACGAAGGGGAAATTCCTTCGGCCACCGCTTTCATGTACATTGAGGAAAAGTCATCTTGAACAACTCCCGTTGCCTGGATGAGCTTGAGCGAGCGGAGAAGGCGGGTGACCCATTCCCGTTTTTTCTCTGGAATGTCGAAAACCTGTTCGCGCAACAGGTCATCGTCCTCCAACAAAGACCTCGCTAATTTCAGATCCTTCGCTTCAACGGCCTTCTCAACCTCGCGCCGGAATGAAGGAAGCGACCGGATCGACTCGATATGTACGTCCTGGACAAGTTCGCTGTTCATTTCATCGTCCTCCACAGCAAAGACGCTCAACGGATTTGCATAAAAGTGACACATATATGCGTACTATAAATGTCAGCCCGACCGCTGCAGCGTTCAATTGGAAGCTTTACCTTGATTGATGCGATGAAAGACTGAATACTGGCGACCTGGTCTCGCTGTCTTTCCACGAAACTATGCAACAAATTCTCTCCCAAAATCAGAGCAGCATCCGATCCCGCAATGGTCGGCTTGAAAATCTGTTCCAAAATCGCGCTTGTTTGGACGACATCGAACTGAGCACCGTAAAGATGTTGGCACGCGGATTTGAGTAATCGCGCCTGTAACAGTTCTACTGATGTTGCGATGCCAAATAAAAGCGTGAATGGGATCTTGGGTCTCCACGAGCTAGTTTCAAAACGTCAGCATGCTTCTGAAGTCTGTTGTGATAGCAACTTACTTGAAGAGGATGATCAGATCGGAGAGAAGAGCGCTGTCGAATCCTTCGCTATCCTGGAAAGAAACAAAAATGTGATCACATTTCTGTGCCGTTGAGAATGCGTACAGACCCTCGAGATCGTAGTTTAGATACTTCCGGCCCTGAAGTTTGTGAGCTTATTATTGCACTCTTCAAGCTTAAGGGAAGAAAACCCACATCTTGTCCGGATGCCATTTCGATATCATCGTCATCTAGAGATCCCCGAGATGTGGCATCCTCAATGATCTTTTTGAGAGCAGCCTTCAGATTGGACGCTTCAGATGACTTGAGCCTGACAAACTTGCTTCGCGTATTCTCCTCAAGCGTTTCGGATAACTGCTCGAATAGCAGGTCCTGAGATGAGATGTTCGGGCCGGTGATGATAAAAGCAGTCGGGATTTTACTCCTGTGGTGCCGTCAGTCGTGCAAGTCAACCCCACGCCGTTCTCACTTACTGTGAACCAGACTGGTCACGAATGAAAGCAGTCACTTGATCTAGAGTGGCCGAGTTGGCATCACGCAGTTTTCCCTACCAGATTTCGTGCTCAGCGTAAGATTCCAGTAGTTGGTCATAATGCTCTACCTACCTGGGCTTTGGACTCAAGATGGTCCCAGCTCGTTTGGAATTGCTTCTCGCGAAGCGCTACGCACTCGGGGAGCTCTTCGCCGTTCAATAATGGCACAAACGAGGACGAGGTTGCGATATTCGCCTTTTCGACGACAGCCTTGTTGGACAAACGGCGACGTTTGGCCGGTCGATCCACTCCAGCTTCCTCACCAGGAGGCCGGAAGATGAATGCGGCCTGTAGGCGGAGGTCAGCGTCAATTACACATGTGAGAAGCAGAATTACTCACCTGGTGATCTTCCTGCCTGAATTGAGGTTCTTGGTCGTCTTCAACACTCATTTTGTGGGTTGACGTAGGCGGTCTGCGGTGAGAAGAAGTGTCGTTGAAATGGAGGTCGCGCTTTTCTGACTGGCACGCGTCGCCAACATCTTCAAAGCACGGACTTGCACAGTGTCGGAGACGTGGAGCACTGTACTTTGCCCGGCAGCAACAATGTTGTGCACAGTGTGTAGAGGCTTGGGATACTTCTATCCCCGTGGTGATAATATCACGGACATAGCACATTGAGATGCCTGGGAATTAGCAGATGAAGTGCGTCGGGACGCAAGCACGTCTTTAAAGGTGTTTTCCATATAAATGACATTAAACCGATTCTCCAAGGCCGTGTTGAACTAGTGACTACCAGTCTCCTCGCCCTCCTAACATCGCAAACCCTTGACCTAAGGCGAGCTTCATTCTACCTCAAAAACTTGAGGCCATTGCCATCCTACACCTGCCTCATCATAACCCAAACAAGCGGTCGCCGCAGGCAATGCGAACATCCGTGGATGCCAAGACTGTCCTTTCTGAGCTGGATTCCTCTCCCTTGGGGGCGCCTTCACCCCTTTGTACAATGAACCCGCTTCACTGGACGAAGACGATGCATGCCGTCTGAGATCAGCACTGCCGCAGTTGCTTGTCGTCTAAAGATTCCCAGCTGCACCGCCTAGAAACACGGGAACAAGTAATTTTACACCGAAACCAAGTTGAGATCGCCTTTGCGATTCGAGAGAAACCGTATACGCCAGGAAACGCAAGAGCCCAGGCTCAAATGGCCCGAGACGCCCACAGTCGGCTGGGCCTTGTCTTTACTTTCAAGATTTTTGGGAACGTGAACGGGTTCCCTAAGCCTTAGCCTCATCCGTTTCCGGGGCCGCAGATGCCTCCTACGAATTTGGTTAGCTCACCTCACCATGTTCATGAGACACAGTTACTCACCTTCTCACTGGGCTCTTCAGCGGGCTTCTCGGCCTTTTCGGGCTTTTCTTCTGCCTTTTCAGGCTCCTCGGACTTCTTCGCACTTGCCTCCTTTTCGGTCTGCTTCTCAGACTCCTCGGACTTCTCAGCTTCCTTGCTTTCCTCTTTAGCACCGTTAGGAGCGGCAGAAGTCTCCTTCTTCTCCTCTGTCTTTCCGGAGGTGCCGTTGACACCATTGGTGGGAGCCGGAGTTGCGGACGCAGCAGCGGCATCACCACCACTGAGAATCTTGGTCCACTTGTCAAGGAGCGTCTGCGAACGACTCTTGAAGTTGAATTCCTCCTCTTTGGGGATGGAGTCAAGCTTGAGAATAGCCTTGAGGACCTTGTTGATCTTGGTCGCCCGGATAATCGAGACCTCAAGGTCTGGGAAGCTCTCAAGCTTAGTAATGTAGTCTGACATCATCTTCATCTCTTCCTCCTTCGGCTCTTGGTCTCTGGTAAGCAAGCCCTTCTGAAGTTTGTGGCGCAAGAAGAGAACCTCCTTCTGTAGTATGTGTTAGCATCTGGGCTGGGAGCCGTGTCATCATCTTGACTTGCCTCTTTGCGTTGGTGCTTCTCTTCAGCGGTGAGCTCAGGCTCCTTAGGAACTTCCTTCTCCGCCTTTTTCTCAGCACCCTCCTTCTTTGACGATTTGGACTTCGCAGGCTTAGCGGCTGACTCTTTAGCCGACTTTGGTGTAGCTGTCCCGTTTGTCGTCTTAGGAGTGGAGGATGTGTTCAGCTTGATCTTGGGCTTCTTGGCAGAATCAGTCCGTGCCGGGGTCTGCAGGAAGTTAGCTTAAGGACGAATTCTATCACGTCTCCAATAACTTACGCTAATAGCTTCTTCGTCCGCCTTTCTCTTCTTGGACTTGGTCTTCTCCTTAGGTTCGGGGACCTCCTCTTCCTCGTCCGCAGCATCAGCCATGTCGACATCATCGTCCGAAATGACCGCAGGAGTCTTCTTCTTGTTCTTCTTTGCGGCCTCTCTGGCATCCTTGGCGGCCTGCTTCTGAGCTACTTCATCTTGGTATTTCTGAAGCTCGTCCTTGTAGTAATCAAGGGGGTGTTGCTCGATGGCGAGCTCGAAGGCATCGCGCAATTCGACCTTCTTGACTTTGTCGGTGAGGAGCTCGGTCGCCTTTTCGGAGTTCAGCTCCTGGAGAGCAGAGTTTGGTACCCAACCGCTGGACAAATCACGAGTTAGCATCGAACGTCTTTGGGTCGGGTTGGGAGCTTGTATCATCAATTGACTTACAATTCGTTCGTCCGGAGGTACATGACGGGGAATGTGCGGTCATTTTGACGCTTGCCACCATCGGCAAAGTCTTCGCGATACGTGCCGTCGGCACGCTTCGCCGTGACAGGACGGCTCTTGAGCAGGGTCTCGGGGAGCATTTCCTCGTCGCAGACAATGACGGGCCATTGAGGGTATCCCTTAAGCTTGACCAGGAAGTGATCGCCGGGTTGCGCATTGGTGTTGAAGAACTTTGCCTTCGACGCCTTCTTGCTAAGCTTCTTGCCCTTGTGTTCCGGAATACCGGACGATCTCCGACGCGACTTGGACTTATCAGCTGTCGCATCAGCGGCGTCGGCGTCAACAGCAGGCGCTTGCTCAGCATCATCGGCAACAGGATCGGAGGCCTCTTTCGCCTCAGCTCCATCTGTTGCGTCCTTCATCTCGACGTCCGCGTCCTCGTCCTTGGATTGTTCGTCTGTCTTGCCGGATGATTCCGCGTCTTTGGTCTCAGCTACTGTCAAGCAATGCGTCAGCGAGATGGTCAATTGAGGATGCAAGTGCTGATGTCAAGGTAAAGTGGCGACAGAGAAGGGACTTACGATCCTTGTTTTTGGAGTCGTCCTTCTGCGCATCCTCGGTGGTCTCCTTGGCAGCTGCCTCAGACTCAGATGGTTTCGCGTCGCTGGCAGCAGTCGCGGGCGCCTGAGAAGCTTCAGCAGCAGGCGAGGTTCCTTCAACCTTCTTCTCCACCTCCTCAGTCGCGGCAGGCGCGGATTGACCGCTGGTGGTCGGCTCGTCAGACATGGTCGGTGATGTGGCGATAGCTTGGAAGCTGGGTTGCAAGGGTATGGATGGGGTAAATAGGCAAGTCGCGACGCCAAAGACTAATGGCGATGGGTCAAAGGAAGAAACACGCGTCGTGATACGCGCGGTTCGTGATTTTTTGTTGTCGCGACGATGGTAGGAGATAATCTGGCTGCAGGAAGGATGATGGGCGCGATTGGGAGCTCCCCGTGTTGTGGTAGCAGAAAAAGGCAATGGCCTGGAAAAAGATGAACGCAGAAACTCTTGGAGTTGGACGCGGATGACGGCGGAGACACGTGACTAGCGCTGATCCACCAAGGGACGAGTTAAATCGCGGAGTCTCAGTTGCGCGACGCCTGTGAGAGGGAGCGTGGACGTGGCCCGGTCAATGCCCAGCCCACCGAACGTTCGCTGCCTCGACTCAGCCACGCTTCCTTCACTTCAATATCACTTTGACCCCTGTCGAACGCCTCCGACAGAGATACACCGCGATCAGGTAACATTGCCTCTTATGGTTTATTGAAGAAAAAGGACTCAAGATGCGTCGTCGTTGACTTTGATTGCGCCTTTCCCACTTGAGATAGGTTATCAATCACTCTTGTTCAGCGTTCCTATGCCACCTTGGCCGCTGAGGCACCACCGCAACTACTGTCGCACCGCACACTGTCTGCGCAACCGGTCTTCAGGCCATTCAACCCTGTCGAAAGAGGACAAGAGCTGCCTGTAGATGGTTTCTGATAAGGGCGAAGAACTGAATGCGACCAAATTTGTCTATTACCCTCAACTCCTCTCTCGATCGATATAGTACACATTGCGATATTGTACGGACGAGATGGTTCTGCCATCTGCCGAGCCGTCTATTCCTCGTCCTCTTCCTCATCGCTGTCGTCCACGTCCATGCCCTCCGCAGCCGTGATGGAAAATTCGCGCTCTTGATCCACTCCGACGTAACTGTCGCTCATTAGGAACAGCTTAAGATCGTGCTTACCAGCTGTTGGCACCGTAAACTCCACCTTCACCTTCAGCTCCCGTCCGATCGTGACACGCTTGATGGCAAGCAAATTCTTCGTCGTCTGCTCCCCTACAACAAGCCACCAGTTCTCCAACTTCTTGGCTGGGTAGAACGGTGCGTGCACAGTCGGGTCAAACTCCTCATCCTCCTCCACTTGTCGTTGGATCTGCACACTAAGGTACGCAGGCTCGTTGGCTCTGATATCGTCCTCATCCAAGACACTGTGTTCAAGCTCAATGTCGGGGTATTTGTCATTGGTGAAGGCGGCAGCCTCACCCAACTGCTTCTGCGAGAGGCCAAGACGCTTGACCAATTTGGCGTAATCCGGATTCTCTTCGGGGTTCATGGCTTCCATGAAATCGAAGATATCCTTGACACTATGAGAGAATTCAACGTTAGTTTTGCAAATCAACACTGCATCAATTGGTACATACCCAAATTCGTTTGCCACCTTCACAACCTCAGGTGTAAAGTGAGGAATCTGCTTCAAGGGGCTATCGCGATCCCACATCGCCTGCACAACCATCTGCGACATTTCCATGGCGTTCATGGCGTTGATGTGGCCATCAGATGAGAGGATATCAACCGTTGCACTCAGGAGACTAAGGACCTTGGAAATGATGACTTCTTGGTCCTTGGCCAAGTCAATCGGCAACTGCATTCGCGAGAAATGCGCTTGCAGGAGGACAAAGGCTTTGAAATGGGCCGAATCATACACAGGCTCTGCCATCTTGACAGGAATACGGTCGTAGATCCTGCGGAGAATGCCCTCCTCGTGCCTCCTGATCTGGATAGCTTCGAATTCAGTAGCCGATGTGATAATTTCCAAAACGCCCTTGAGTTTGGTCTTGGCGCTCAGAGACAAGAGGAACGTCTGCATAGTGATGTAGGAGATGTTGTAATATGCTGCAATCATGGCTGCGTTCTGCGGCGCAACGGAGCCATCGTCCTCGTCAAGCTCAATGATCTTAGAGTCGCTCAGCTCTTGCAGGGTGGTCTGGATGAGATCCGACATGTAGTCGCTGAGACCATCCTGCGTAGTGCTGGTCAAGCTGTAGAAGCTGGGGTTGGCCAGGAGACGCCTGTAGAAGTAGGTGAACGTCGTCCAGTTGATGGCATCATCACCAGACTCGATCATCTTCGTGCTAATCTCGGTGACAAAGGCATCGTGAAGGTAGTTGTGGAGATGTGACTCGACAGGGAGAGCCTCGTTCAAAAACTTCTTGTAGAATTCTCTCTTGGCTGACGGAAGCATAAGAACGCCCCGGCCTCTGCCGTCCTTGGAAGGTCGGAGTGCCTTGCCGAACATGTGCAAGACTTCGCTTAGGGAGTAATCGACGTAGCGATGCTCGCGACCCTCGAAATATTGCGTGCCCATGATGATGACGAGGTGAGCAGTGCTGTTGAGCTCCCAGCAAACGTCGCGAGAAGCAACAAGCACCTGAATAGCTCCATGCTCGTACAAGTGCTTGACGATACGCTTGTCACTCTGACTCAAAGCCTCGTGGTAGTATCCCACGCCGTGAGAAAGAGACTCGGCGAGTGCTTCTTCGGAAATGCGATCAAGAAGAGGGCGCATCTGCTCCACCTCAGCGTGCAGGAAACGGTCTTCGTCGTCATCCATGAAGGCGGCTGTCAGCAGATCACGCGTGGTCGCTCGTGTTTGCTTCCTACTCGGGACAAACACAATAGCAGGTTTGTCAGCGGACATCTGCGTGATGGCCAAGTAAGTCGGCTTCGCCATAGACAACATCAGCGAAGGGAAGTGAGGATTGGTGTAAGACTGGATGTGAAGTTCGAGGGGTACAGGGCGGACGTGCGGGCTGAAGTTGTAGATATCGTGCTTCTTCGCGTCGATCCACTCGCCGAGGTCGCGGGCATTAGCAAGGGAAACACCAAGCGCGATGATTCTCATTGGAAGCTCAGTCTGGGTTCGGATGTAGTGCATCCGCGAAATGATGATTTCGTAGACATATCCCATGTTGTTGCCGAGCAGATGAACCTCATCTGCAATGAAAAGCTCGACAGTGGAAACGTTCTTCCTGCGCTTCCACTGGCGGGACAATACATCCCATTGGATAGGAGTCGCAAGAATCAGGTCGCTACGCTCCAGAATCTTCAAATCGGTAGTGGTTTCTCCCGTGAGCTTCTCGATAGTCTTTCCACCCCGGAGACCGCCAAGCCTCTTCTGCCAGTCGTCAAGGCGTGAGTCGATCAGCTCCTGGAAGGGTGCGATGTAGACTGCACGCCCAGCGTCTGCCTTAGACCAGTGTCGCAGTAGAGAAAACTCTGCGCATACCGTCTTGCCACTTCCCGTCGGCGCACCCACGAACACATTCTGATCGGTGTTGTACAGCGAGTTGAAAGTTTGCGTCTGGATACGGTTGAAGTGGTCCCAGTCAGGGTACAACTTGGCGTACTCTTTGGCCTTCAGCGCCGCAACAGGCAGAGGCTGAAGCTCAAGGAGCTCAGTGTGGGGAGGGAACCTCTCGGGAAGAATCAGCTTGTGGAATGATACTGGCAATCTTGTTTCGGAATGCATCCAGCGATCAGACACAACTGAAATGAAGTAGTTCGGGGGCATTGGCTCTGTGATCGGCACCGTGAAGTCGACAATGTGCTCGTTCGACTCAGACTCGGCGTACTCCTTGCGCAGCAAGAATTGGTCACTGAAAAGGATATCCTCTCCATCACAATCCTCGACGAAGATCCAGAAACTTTCCGCCGGGCCGTGGATTTCGACATCCCACTCAAAGTTGGGAGCGATGCTCAACTCGACTCGAAGCATGGATCTCGTAAGTGGCTGAACTTGAGCCTGAACCTCAACTCTGGGGAACTTGGCAACCAAGCCACAGACAGTTCTGCCTGCCTTGGGCATGCCAAGCAATTCTCCCATTCGAGGAGGGTCGAGGTCGAAGTAGTTGCTCCAAGACACTTCGATTCTCTCCGACTTCTGCACAATGTCTCTGGGGCAGTTGGGGAACTGACGAAGTGGTGACATGGTTGGCCACATGCGCTTCTCTGCCATCTTGCAAAGATCCAAGGCGGTCTTGGCCACGGACGCCCATCCCTTCTTCATGGTAATTTCGAAGATGGCGCGGAGAATACGACCAGCGGATTGAGTGACGTAGACCATATCAGCCATAAGGGCGAGACCGTCCAACTTAAGTCGTGAGATGTAGGCTTGCAGCAACACATTGATCTTCGCGTGAGGCTCCTCAATGCTCTCCTTAACTGGGATCGGCACTCTACCCAACAACTTGGCAAGTTCAAGCTTTTCATCCTGGCGCACGGGGATGTACTTAAACTCAGCACTCAGGGAGAATACTCTGAACAGCTCAATGGTTGTGATGGAGGGTTGGATCAAGTTGTTGTAAGTCTCCATAGAGCCATGTGTGATGTAGTAGTGGGAAGCGATACGACCTAGCTCCGTTGACTGGAGCTTGCCGGTCTTCTCATCGTATTTGATAAGATTTGACTTCCTTAGTACTGAAGCAGCAGAATGAATCAGATCGACTCGCTTTTGCTCCAAAGCCTCATCATCTTCGTATTCCGCGCCAACTTGGTAGAGGCCGGGCGAACGTAGCATACGGACGAACAAGTAGGTGTAGCCAAGCCATTCGACACCCTCGTCTCTGCTGCGGACGTTGCCGAGCACAATCTCGGCATTCAAGTTGTCCACGAGCTTACTGACGAACTGACTCTCGATTGGTAATTGTTGGTTGAGGAGCGACAAGTAGTACTGGATCTCGTTCTGGGTTGTGATGATGATGCCCTCGCCATAGGTATCGTATTGTGGACGACCGGCACGGCCAAGCATCTGTAGGACGTCTTGGGGGCTGAGCTCAACCCAGCTACCTTTCTCCGGAGAGTATACTGAAGTGCCTTTGATGATGACGGTGTGCGCTGGCAAGTTGACACCCCAAGCAAGGGTTGCGGTACAGACAAGGACTTGAATAGCGCCACGGGCGAAGAGGTCCTCAACATCCGTACGATCGATGCGGTTCATACCAGCATGGTGAATACCGAAACCATAAGGAAGGATATCCTTGAGGTCCTTATCGGTGGCTTGGCTGGCCGCCTCGTTGAGCACCTCGCGACTTCCTGCATCGTGACGAAGAATCTGATTGATAGTATCCATCTCTAGAGCCTTATCACGAATGTAGCGCGCAGTCTTGGCAGTCTCCTTTCGTGAGTGGACGAAAATGAGCATCTGATT